TAAATTCAATAACAAATCAAAGTATTTTAAGCCTAAGACTGACCAAAACTCAAACAATAATAAGTTCAAACCTAAGCCTAGATATGCTTGCCGTATGTGTGAAAATGTTGGCCAAACAAATAAATTTCATTGGCCTCAGGATTGCCCGACTCGGACCAAACCTAAGAGTGATACGGTTCCCAAACAAATCAATTTGATAGACAATCAGTCTACTGATGAGGAACCGACAGTTAGTTTAAACTAATACAGAGGCCTAGACATAAACCCCTGATCTCTATGTTAACTATAGTTAATAACAAAATTTTAAATGCTATTTATGATCCAGGGTCAAATGTCTCAATTATTAGTAGTAATTTAGCTAATGAATTACAATTAAAAATTTATAAATTTACTATAACAAATAGTTTTAAAACAATAAATGCTAATAATTATTGTTTAGGTCTCGTAAAATGTGTACCAATACTTATTGGGCAAATATCACAAAATTGTGATTTATATGTAATTGAAAATAGCAATTATGATCTATTGATAGGACTTAATTTAATCACATTATTTGCATTAAATTTAACAAATGAATTGAGAGTTTTTCAATGTCTTAAACATAAAGACAATACAATTAATGAGGAAATATTGACTAATTATACACAAAATAATTTAATAAGTAATGATAAGCTCAGACTCAACATTGCTGAGTTTAACAATACAATTAAAATTGATTGCAACAATTTTAGCGCTAAGCAAGCAAATACAATACATTACTTATTATCTAAATATGTTAATATATTTTCTAAACATAAATATGATGTAGGTCAGATTAATACTGAAATGTGCACAATTGAATTAATTAATAATATACCAATTAATCTCAGACCCTACCGATGCTCTCAAATAGATCAACAAACCATTGATACACAAATCAATGAATTATTGAAACATAAATTAATTCAAAAAAGTTATAGCTCTTATTCATTTCCTATTACATTAGCTAATAAAAAGGACGAGGGTACTAAAAGTAGATTATGTATAGACTACAGGAAATTAAATACAGTAACTGTATCTCAAAACTACCCGTTCCCATTGTTTAAAGATATTGTAGATTCACTCTATGATTGTGACTATTTTACTACTCTAGATATCACAAGTGGCTTTTGGCACATAAAAGTCCACAACAATGATATAAAAAAGACAGCATTTGTTAGCACTAGTGGTCAATATGAGTGGCTATGTATGCCATTTGGTTTCAAAAACAGTCCTATGATATTTCAACGTATTATACATACAATACTTAAAAAACATAATTTAATTAAGTATGCAAAAAATTATCTGGATGATATTTTGATTCATTCAAAAACATTTGATAATCATATTATACATATTGAAAATGTTTTAAAAGCATTATTAGCTGAAAATGTTAAACTTAAACTAAGTAAATGTAGTTTTGCACAAAAATCAGTTAAATACTTAGGTCATTATATATCTAAAAACTCATATACACCTATCAATGATAATATAGTATCTATACGTGAATTTCCTGAACCAACAAAAGTAAAACATATACAACAATTTTTAGGTAAAGTAAATTTTTATTACGGTTTTATTCCCAATGCTTATGCTCTATTAGCACCATTGTATAACCTATTAGGTAAAGATAAAAAGTTTGAATGGTCTATTGAATGTCAAAATGCTTTTGAAAAAACAAAACAATATTTAACTAGTTATCCCATTTTACGTATATATGACTCAAACAAAAAATGTATAATATTTTGTGATGCATCCAAAGTAGGTATAGGAGCTGTATTTAAACAAATACAATCTGATGGCAAACTATACCCTATTGCCTATTACTCTAAAAAACTATTAAAATATCAGCAAAATTATGATATAACAGAATTAGAGTGCTTGTCTATAATATCAGCAATTGATTATTGGCATCATTATGTTTATGGTAAACAAATACTGATATATAGTGATCACAACTCATTGAGATGGCTTAAGTCAATTAAAAAACCAAATTCCCGTTTATTTAATTGGTCTCTAAGATTAAGTCAATACGATTTAGATGTAAAATATATCAGAGGTATCGATAATAGAGAAGCCGATGCATTGAGTAGACACCCAGTATTAGAGGCATCGGAAACTGTACCACATATTAAATGCGTTAATTTACTTGAAATGACTGATATCATAGATAATCAAAAACAATATCACAACAATTTGCCTAAAAATACTGTATTAAAAAATAATTTAATTATTAATAAAAAATTAGATATTAATCGTATATTTATATCAGATATATTAGTTGACAAACTTATTGATAGAATGCACAAACAATTTGGTCATATTGGCTATCGTAAAATGTTATACTTAATCTCAGGCGCCTATTATTTCAATGATATGCATAACAAAATCAATAATTATCTAAAGGGTTGTCAAATTTGTATCGCAAATAAAGTGTCGCGCGAACCCAAATATGGACAGTTGTCTCACTTAGGTCCAGCCAAAGAGCCTTTTGAAATCATATCTATTGATACGACAGGTGGCCTATCTGGCTATAACTCAAAAAAACAATTTGTACATGTTGCTATTGACCATTTTACTAGATATGTTTGGACATTAGCATCAAAAACACAACAATCAAAAGATTTTATTAATTTAATTAATTGTATAAAACAAACACAAAAACCAAAACTTATTTTAGCTGATCGTTACACAGGTATCAAATCAAATGAATTTAAAAACTATTGTAATAAAAATGAAATCAAATTAATTTTTATAAGTGTTAATTGTTCTCAAAGTAACGGTATGTGCGAACGCGTAATACAAACACTAACTAACAGATTACGGTGTAAATTAAATGATTGTAACAAAAATATTTGTTGGCCTAATCTATTACATGATATTACAATTGAATATAACAATAGCCCACACAGTGTAACGCATTTCACTCCTAATTATTTATTGTTTGGTATTAAACCATTTGAAACTTTTCAATTGCCGTTAGATATGAACATTGAAAAAGCGAGAAAAATAGCATTTGATAATAGTATCAAAAACCATAATATTAACAAAAAATATTATGATATTAAGCATAAACCTATTGAACTAAATATAGGCGATTCAGTATATATTGAAAATAAAAATAAAATTACTCGTAGAAAGTTAGAGCCGCTAATGGTCGGCCCGTTTAAAGTAATTGAAAAATTATCAAAAATTAGTTATAGAGTGGAATGCGATAAAAAGGGCAAAACAGATGACATATTCACATATCAAAGTTAAGATATGCTTAACCTGTAGGCATGTCTTAAAGACAGGGGATATAAAGTATACCCGAAATATTGTCATTTATTTTTAGTTTTATTATACATTTTATTTTAACATTTCTAATTGATTTTATTGTCTTAAATATAACTTAAAATAATACCTATTTTTATGTTAATTTCAATATATCAAATACAAACTTGAATTTTCTTAGTATACAATTTATATTATCATAAATACATATACAGTACATATTTTTGGTATACATTGTTAATTAAACTAATATTTGATTTTATAAATATAACTTTGAATTTATGATTATTTTAGTCCAAATATGATTTTATGATTTGTTTAAAAGGGTTATAATCTTAACATAAAAGTATGTCAAAGTAGCCGCTGGTGCGGCCACTTACCCAAACATGTGTATAAAAATAGGACACTGACTGACCATTAGGACAGTCACTCCACAAACACACACATATTACTATACTTTGTTTAAACTTATTTTCATTGATTATTGTAATACTTTATAATTTATATTATTTCAATAAAAGTTACAGTTTTTATAATATCAAAATTACGACTGCAATTATTTAAAAGTTTTTTGTTTAATAATTTATAATATATTTTCAAGCAACTTTATATATATATAAGTTGTTTGTTGTTTTATTACCTCTAATTAATTGCTAATTAATTGTATTTTTGTTGTTAAGTTATGGCCAAATATTGAATAGCGGTATATTAAATAGACAAACCTGTATTTAATTTAAACTGCTGTAACATTGAGTAAATTATTATTATTATTATTATTATTAGGTAGGAGATATGGCAATAGATTTTTATTAAAAAATACATACAATTAAATGTTGTCCATGTTTTTGGTATAGGTTTTGGCATACTACCTTTCCCCGGCAAACATATGTATCATATTTGACACATTAACATATTTATATATATGGTACATTTGTTTGCTTGGGAGGGGTGGGCGTGTGTTGCTACAGTATATTTATTATTATTATTATTATTATTATTATTATTATTATTATTATTATTATTATTATTATTATATATATATATTGATTAATTAATTAATTATTAACTGTAATACTAAAATATGTAATGTTTAATTTTATATTTTCAATTATAAGATAATAAATTAAAATAAAAATTTTTATTATTTTCTATAAACACATATTATTTTATACTTGCTATTTGTTTTATACTATCTGTAATTATTATAAAATATAAGTTTTAAAATGTTTATTTTTTTTAAAAAAAAAATTACTTTTAATTTAATTTTTATTATTATTATGTTTGTACTTATTATTTATTGCTAACTTAATAATATATGAATATATAGATTAATTTAACATTTTTTCAATAAAAATAATAATTTTATTTAATATGATTATAATTTAAGTTAGTTGTATAAATTTTGAGATTAAAAAAAGCATATTTTCATAAATTATGTTTTTAAATATTTTTATATACTAGTATATATTATTTATAATAAAAAAAAATCACTATTTAATAACTAAAAAATGTATTAATTAATTTATTTAATAAATATACAGTAAATACTAATTTTTAAATACAATTACAATTAGTAACAAACAATTATTAACTGTGTGTGTGTGTGTGTGTGTGTGTTAGTTAATTATAATTATTTAGTTTATTATATGATTATAATATTATCATTAAAATACATGTAATTTGTTTAATTACAATAAAGTATATATAATTAATATAAAGTTATAAATAGTTTTAATATAATGTATTTACAAAAAAAAAATTACTTGTTTTACTGTATAAAAAAATAGCCTAAAAATTTACTGTATATTTATTTTAGGTAAAAATAAAAAATAATTAAAAAATAATGTATATTTTTTTTTATTTATTTATTTAAATTATTTGAAAACAATTTATTTTATTTTTAACTGGACTACCATTTACAGGGAATGTCACAGTTTTCGGTAACCGGATTGAAACAGGTATGTACAGCACAGTCCATATATGAATACCACCAGCCCTTACCGTCGACATAGCGGCACTCAAAGAATCGGTGAACATTGCCGGGGAACGGTATGTTACACCATTTACGGGTCAGACATTTTTCTTCGCATTGTTTGGGTATGGGTGCGGGTGTGGTAGTTGTCGGCTCAGTAGTAGTAGTAGTAGTTGTCGGTTCAGTAGTGGTAGTTGTTGTCGGCTCCTCAGTAGTTGTTGTCGGTATTGGTGTCGTAGTAGTAGTAGTAGTAGTTGTAGTGGTGGTAGTAGTAGTGGTAGTAGTTGTAGTGGTAGTAGTTGTTGGCGGATCGGTAGGTCGGGGCGCATACTTGCACTCCTGTACCTCCCTGTCGTTACCGTTGAGCATATCGTGTACTTTGTTTAGCAGCGGATTCAAAATGCCGTGTCCTTTGCAACGGCGATCCCAATCGTCATTCTGTAGGGCCCATACCATACCACCTGACAGTCCCATTGATTTCAAATAAATTATCTACAAATAAATGTACGGTAAGTATAGTTGTTTAGTGTCGTAGCTATATAAATGTGTTGGTTATACTGTATATACCTTGCAGGCAATTGATTCCGGATCGTCATAGCCAATAAATACAGTACCATTATAAGCGTACGGTGCCCGATACATTTCATCGTGGCTCAGGTGCCAGGTTGACGGACTACCCTCAATCATTTCACAGATCTACCGGTGCAGGGGATGGGGTTGGGATAGGGTTAGAGGAGATTGATTAGCTAAAAACAACTCAACTCAATAGGGATGAAAAAACATACCTCATTATAGCCGTAGACACCCGGTTCGCCAGTTATCGGACCTGGAGGTGACATACCGCGAGCCGAATCGTGTAGCCGATGATGTTGACTGTCCATCAGTGTCCAGGCTCGGCCATAGAACGGCAAACCCATTACAATCTTTTCGCGGGTCAAACCCCTGTCCAGATAGTAGTGTATCGTATAGTTTACATTGAAAAACGGATAGTCACCGGTGGTCGGATCTTCCGGGCTGTTATATAGGGGTGCATTGTGTCCCAGTTCATCGTCCCAACCGCCGTGATAGTCGTAGGTCATGACATTACCCCAATCAAGCAGTTCGTTCAGCTCAGCGATATGATAGGCCTTATCGATAGTACGATAACCGGGCGATAGGGCGGCCGTCAATAGCCAACCGTGCGGTTCGAAAGCCTCCTTAAGTTCGGCCAACAGATGATTGAAACCGTCGTTATCTTTGGCCTCATCGCCGCCACGCGAACCGGGATATTCCCAGTCCAGGTCCAGACCGTCGAAATCCCATTTGGTTAGAAAGGTGACCACACTCTGGACAAATCGCTGACGGTTTGGCTGCTTAGCCATATCCGAGTACTTTTCCGACCCCTCATACCAACCGCCCAACGATATGAATGTCGTTAACAATGGGTTTTTCTTTTTCAAATCGTTGAACACTTTATAGCCCTCTATGTTTGAAAGATTCATAAATATTATATCCAATTAGTTTATTATCAAAAAAAAAATTACCAAAAAATAATAGGTGTGTCGGGATATATATATATATATATAGGATTGATATTAAATTTAAATCTGTTTTGTTTGTGTTTTTTATATTGTTATACAAAGCATTTAAATGAAATTATTTATTTATTAATTGTTTTTTTAGTATTGATTACTTTAGTGTCAATAATAATAAGGTCTATATATATAATAATGTTATATATATAATAACTTTATAACCCTCTATTGATATATAATATATGATATATACAGTATATAAATAAAGTTAAAAACATTTTTAACTACACTTATCTAAAATATAATATAATATTAACTCTCAGATATACTGATTGTTTGTATACTGAAAAATCATAAACAGTATATAAGGGGGGAAATGGTAGATATATTGGAACAGGTAGGTTATTTAATAATATAGTTTACCGTAATGTTAAAAAAATCCAAATATTATATCCAATTAGTTTATTATCTTTAAAAAATTTACTTAAAAAATAGGTATCGGGATATATATCAATCCTATATATATATATATATATATATAGGATTGATATTAGAAATTGTTTTTTGACTGATGGGGGATAGGGATGGGTATGTTATTTAATAATATATATTTATATAGTTTATTGTAATGTTGAAAAAGTCATATATTATATTCAATTAGTTTATTATCCTAAAAATTTACTTAAAAAATAGGTATCGGAATATATATATATATATAGGACTGATATTAGAAACTGTTTTTTTGACTGATAGGGGGATAGGGATGGGTAGGTTATGTAATAAGTAGGATAGGTAGGTTAAAATTACCGTAATGTTCATCCAGCCATGGATCAAACATTTCCATTTCGTAGGTGGTTTCGTTGACTTTGGCAAAACCATAGTTCAAATGTGTACACAGCTCCGGGTCGATGTTTTCAATTTTGTAGCCCCGGTAGAAAAACCAGGTACCCACATAGCATACAATACGGTGCGGTTTTTTGATATAGTCATTGTGATCTATATTTTTTATAATTATTTTATAAAATTTGTAAAAAAATTAAAATAAAAACAATAATTTAATGTTTTAGTATTTTTATTTTTGGTTAGACCTTAATATAGAAAGTTATATCAAAGTTATTATTATTATTATTATTAGTATTATTACCTCTTTTTTGAACACAACTAACAATTGTTGCCAAACATATGGCAAACAAAATAACCGCAAACTTAGACATCTTTAATTAAAAAAAAAACTTATTTATTTGATGTAAAAAATTATACTAAACTAACCTTGCTTATATATAGGTAATAAAAATTTATATATAATAATAATAGATATAGATATATATATATCCTGTTTAATAACTATATATACATGTATATTATTGAACTTTTATATATATATTTTATTTATTAAATTATTTTAAGTACTATTCCATAATTGGCTAAACATTTTTGAAGTTTATATATATATATTATGAGATTTAAAGTGTCATTATATCGATATATTGTGTGACAGTTATTGAATTCATTGAATTAACATCTAATAAAATAATAATAATAATCATAAGATATTATAAAATTCAATAGAAAAAAAACTTGACTTCAATTACAGTAATTTTTATATCACAAAAAAATATTATTATACAATAGTTTTTTTTGACGTTAAAAATATAGAAACTATAAATATTATCTAATAATAATAATAATTTTAATCCTAATGATAAAGTCATGTCAATAGTTTTAATAAACTATTTATATTAAATTTTTTACTTATAAATAATCAAATATAATACTATTTTTTTTATTGTTTCATAAAAACCTTTGTATTATATATTGTTTTAAAATAATAAAATAACAAAAATATTGATATGAGTTCAGAGAAAACTTTTAATATATACTTATTTTTTATCTTAATATATATGGAATAAAGCCAAAAAAAATTAATAAAAATAATCAAGCAACTTATTTGTTTTAAATATTTTTAAAACATTAATAATATTAGAAAAATAATTACTTTACTAATGTATTTTGTAATTTTTTTTGTATATTAAGTTATTATAAAATTTCAATTATTTATATACATTATATACATTATATAGATATATATTAATAATATATTAATAAGTTTATTAAAAAATATATTTTATAAAAAATATAGTATAAGTGCAATTGATAATAAACTATTGATATATATATATATATATACAGTAAAGTATATATATTTTTTATTATGGGAAACAAACAAATAAAAAACAATTTTCAACACTTGTCAATGTTTTTAGATAATATTATCAGTATTATTAAGTTTTTAATAACAATAAATAAATATTGATTTGATATAAATTATAAAAATGTTTGTATAAGTAATTTGTAGGTTAAAAAAAACTTGTTATTACTTTTAATTTTAATAAACAACTTTTAATAATAATAATAATAATTTTTCTGCAATAATATTATTACTGAATGTTAATAAATAAATCAAATAATATGAATATTAATTATTATTATTTTTTGATAAATTATTTATAAATATATTTATCTATTAAACATTTAGGTAAAGTTTTTTTTAAATTATTGAAGTCAAATATATATATTTATCTAAAATATATAAAACAACAAAAAAAAAAATTTTTTACTGGCATTTATATCATAAAATATTTTATTAATATTAATAAAAATCTATTGTTTTATTAATCATTGTAAATATATTCAAGATATTGTAAAATTTTATTTTATAATTTTTGTATATTTATAGAAAAAAAAATCTTAATAAGAGATAATGGATATATTTTTTAAAAAATTATTAATAAAATATTAAAAGTTTATTTAAACAAATAAACTTAAGATAAATATTACAGTATATTTAAAGTGAAAATAATTTAAGATAATATTAATTATTAAGATACTTATGTGAATTTAAACATATTAAAATTTTCAAAGAAAAAATATTTATATTGTATAAATTATAAGTAAAAATATAAAATTATAAGTAAAATATAATCAGTTTTTAAAAGCTATTAGCATTCACAGTGCAAATTAAAAAAAAAAATTATTTAATAAAATAATATTAAAATAATATAAAAATAATAAATATTTAAGTGCTAATTAATTTATTCATATAAATTATTTTTTTTATAAATTTAATTAAATTTATTAGACATTTCTAATTTTAGAACATTATTATGTAATATAAAAATTTTAAGCTATATATATATATATATTTATGCATTATTTTCAATACTCTAATAGACTCAGTTTGAATTGAAAAATATAATTAAAAATAAATATATCGCTGAATTGTCAGACACAGACAATTAGAATTCAGACAACAAACTTATTTGATTTTAAGTTTATAGTTTAAACTATTTCATCCTAGTTTTGATTATCAATGTTACAGATAAACTATTAATTAATTTACACAACAAAATAATAATATTAATAAAATACAATTAAAAAAATATTATAATTATTTATATATAAATTTTTTTTTGTATTTAGTATTTTTTTATTGATATTAATTTATCAAATACTCTATTATTATTGATAATTATATTTCAGTTAATTGTCTATTAATTAATCAAAAATAACTGATTATTGTTAATGTCATCCAATTGAAAGTGAAATAAATTTTGATTTATTTTATTTTTACATTCAATATAAAAAATAATATATATATATAAAAATAGGACGCAAACATAGTTTATTTAGGGCATTAATTTTTTTTTAATAAAAAAATGTTGTCACTAAATCTATTGGTGGTATTATTGCCACTATTAGGTCAATTGGCTAACAGTGCTAGTCTATCGGTGCCCAAAAGGGGTAATGTTTTTTTTTTAAATATACATATATAATATATATAAATATATATATATATATGTTAAAATGATAATTATTTTTTTTTTAATATATAGATCATAATGATTACGTGAAAAATCCTAAACGTGTTACCTGTTATGTGGGTACATGGTTTCACTATAGGGGCTATAGTCTGGATCAGATACCGGCCCAACTGTGCACACATCTATACTATGGTTTTGCCAAAATCAATGAAAAATCCTATGAATTAGAAGCGGCCGACCCTGAACTGGACATACACTTAAGTAAGTCAGTAATTACAGACATACCGGTGCTCAACACCCACACCCATCTATACCAACATAACATACCGGTGCTCTAACTAGCCCACCCACCCCACCCCATCCCACATAAACTAAACTAACAAGTATATAAAAATATGACATAGCGATGCTCCACACCCAGTCACCCCACCCCACCCCCCATAAACTAACCCAATAAGTAAGTAAAAATATAACATACCGGTGCTCTAACTAGCCCACCCACCCTATCCCCCATAAACTAACCCAATAATAATAAGCTTATATATCTGGCAATAGACGGCTACAAGACATTCAATGATTTACGTCAGAAAAATCCATTGCTATCGACATTCATATCGTTAGGCGGTTTCTATGAGGGATCGGAAAAATACTCGGATATGGCTAAGCAGCCAAACCGCCAGACGTTTATCAAATCGGCCGTCGATTTCCTAAAAAAATACGATTTCGACGGTCTGGACCTTAACTGGGAATATCCGGCCAACAGAGGCGGCGACGAACAGAAAGATAAGGACAACTTTGTTCAACTGGTTCAGGAGCTCAGGGCTGAACTGGATAAGGATGGCTATCTGCTGACGGCACACTTATCGCCGGTTAGATCGACCATCGATAAGGCCTACGATATAGAGAAGCTGAACACACTGTTGGACTGGGCTAATGTCCAAGCCTATGACTATCACGGGAGCTATGATAACGGACTGGAACATCCGGCACCGTTATATAATAATCCATACGATCCGAAAACTGACAGTGTTTTATCTATTAACTATACGGTCAGTTACTATTTGGATAGGGGTTTGAGTAAGGATAAAATGGTACTGGGTCTACCGTTTCACGGTCGCTCATGGATCTTGGAGGATAAGTCACATGTTAGGCTACACGACAGTGCCCGAGGTATGTCACCCGAGTTGCCCTATAGTAAGGAATCGGGTGTTGTTGCCTTCAATGAGGTAATGTTTTTTTTATATAAATTTTTAAATATATGCTTATTATTAACTTATACTATACTCCTATAACACCATCGCCACAACCACCATCACCACAACCACCACAACCACCATCACCACAACCACCATCACCACAACCACCACCACAACCACCATCACCACAACCACCATCACCACAACCACCATCACCACAACCACCACAACCACCACAACCACCACAACCACCACAACCACCACAACCACCACAACCACCACAACCACCACAACCACCACAACCACCACAACCACCACAACCACCACAACCACCACAACCACCACAACCACCACAACCACCACAACCACCACAACCACCACAACCACCACAACCACCACAACCACCACAACCACCACAACCACCACAACCACCACAACCACCACAACCACCACAACCACCACAACCACCCACTAAATAGATATGTAAACTATCATTGGACTACCCGTCCCAATGGCACATGCACTTTGACTGGGACTATGAGGCACCCTATACATACAATGATAAAATATTTGTCGGCTACGATGATATCTATAGTATTGAATGCAAGATAACATACCTGAAAAAAATTGGCCTATCGGGTGTTATGATTTCGGGCCTACAATTTGATGACTACAAAAACGATTGTCGCTATGGCCAGTACTCCCTAACCTATAAAGTACAGGAGCTGTTGAACGGTTTGGGTAGTATGACACACGAGTGCGCCTATCGTCCGCCACCGCCACCCGATCCGACAACTCTGCCGCCGCCGACCACACCGACTACACATCATACAGATCCGACACTACCGCCAACATTGCCTCCGACAACAACACCTATACCTATATCGGAACGGTGTGCCCGACAGTGCGGCAAACGATTGTGGTGTAACATATCGTTTCCGGGTAATGAACACAAATTCATTGCCTGCCGGGACATACCCGATAAGGGCTGGTGGGAGACCTATTTTGATTGTTCAGTCCATACAAAATTCAATCCCCGCACCGAAAACTGTGACATTCCCGACCTATAGATAGATATATATTTATATATATATATATAACTAGCAATCTATAGATTATTATAATAAATAAAATTATTATTATTAAATTTACAGTAAATATTATAATTGTTGTAATTTTTCAAATGATTTATATATATTTATTATTATTTAAATTTTTTATTAGTAATCAAGATTTAATATGATTTATATATATATATATATAGAGTTACAGATATATTGATAATTTTTTTTTGTACAGTAAAACAAGTAATCATTTTAATTATTATTATTATTAATAGTTGTATTTTTTTAAAAAAAATGTGTAAATGTTTTCATACAAAATAAACAAATTATTATTATTTATATTTAGTGTTTCATTATTCATTATCACTATATTTTTAAAATTTATAAATACATAAAATAACTATTAATATAAACTATAAATAAAACTATTATTGATTATAGTGTTATATATATATATATATATAAATTTATATTAAATAAGTTGAAAACTTTCCTAATAGTTTATTGATAATAAATTATTAATAAATTATTAATAAATTTAAAAAAAAAAATTTATTTAATGCTTAACTTGAATAATATTATAAATATTTATTACATTAAATTACTTTATTATTATTTTTTAATTTTCATCAATTATATACAGTGTATAATACTTGTAAGTTACAAATTGTAACTTTAATAAATATTATTTTTTTTAATAAATATTATTTTTATTTATAGATTGTTGGTATTGTTAACCACATATAATGTTTTATATAAGGTTAAAATTGCACATGTATGTTTAAGGTTGGTTATGTTTAGGTTGGCCCATATTTGCACACTTGTACCTTACTATCTTTACCGTTGAGCATATCATATACTCTATGCATTAGTGGACTGATACCCATTTTGCATCTATTATCCCAGTCATCATTTTGCAGCGCCCATACCATACCACCCGACAGTCCCATAGCTTTCAAATAGCTAATCTATATATATACACAAAAAAAATATCAGTATAAAACATATATATAAATTATTAATTAATTTTTTTTAAGCTAGCTAAGTTAAATTATAACTAATTTTTAATTAATTAACTTAATTAAAAAATAAATTAATTTAAAAATCAATTATACTTTGCATGCAATACTTTCGGTGTCGTCATAACCGATAAATAGGTTGTCATTGTAGGCATACGGTGCCCGATACTGTTGATCGTGGCTCATGTGCCATGTGGTTGGACTATGTATTATCATTTGGCATATCTACCCGTCAACCCAACCATTTAATAAACAATTGTTATAATTACTATAACACACACACATATATACCGTATATATACCTCATTATAGCCATAGATACCGTCTTCACCGGATAGTGGACCGGGAGGTGCTACACCTTTAGATTGATCGTACAGATGATGGTGTTCCCTATCAACCAGTGTCCAGGCTCTACCATAGAATGGTAGACCCATTACTAGTTTTTCTCTGGTCAAACCATGGCTCAGGTAGTAATTGACAGTATAGTTAACATTCAGATAGGAATAGTTTCCCGATTTCGGTTCATTAGGACTGCCATATAGGGGTGCATTGTGTCCCAGTAGGTCATCCCAATAGCCGTGATAGTCATGCGTCTTGATGTTAGCCCAATCTAATTGGTCGTTGAGTTGGCCAATATGATAGGCCCTGTCCAATGTTGTATAGATAGGCGATAGGGCGGCCGTCAATAGCCAACCGTGCGGTTCAAAAGCTTCCCTGAGCTCAGCCAACAAGCGATTGAAATTTTCGATATCATTGTCCACATCGCCGCCACGCGAACCGGGATATTCCCAATCCAGATCCAGACCATCAAAATCCCATTGGCTAAGAAAGGTGACCACACTCTGGACAAATCGCTGACGGTTTGGCTGTTTAGTCATATCCGAGTACTTTTCCGACCCCTCATACCAACCGCCCAACGATATCAATGTTGTTAACAATGGATTTTTCTTTTTCAAATCGTTGAACACTTTATAGCCCTCTATTGGTGGATAATATATGATATAAATAAAGTTAAAAACATTTTACTACACTTATCTAATATAAAAAAAATTAACTCAAATATACTGATTGTTTGTATACTGAAAAATCATAAACAGTATATAAGGGGGGAACTGGTAGATATATACAGAACAGGTAGGTTATTTAATAATATATATATAGTTTACCTTAATATTGAAAAATCCTAATATTATCATTAAGTACAAGCATTTAAGTAAAATTATTTATTAATATATTTTTGTGTGTGTTAATTACTTTAGTGGCAATAATAATAAGGTCTAAATTTATAATAATGTTATATTATATAATAACTTTATAACACTCTATTGATATAAATATAAATACAGTTACAAAATATTTTGCTACACTTATCTAATATAAAAAAAATTAACTCAAATATACTGATTGTTTATATACTGAAAAATCATAAACAGTATATAGGGGCAACTGGTAGATATAGAGAGAGGACAAGTAGGTTTAATAATACATGTATATATATGATATATAGTTTACCGTAATGATCGTCCAGCCAGGGATCAAACATTTGCATTTCGTAAGTGGTTTCATTGATTTTGGCTACACCATAGTTCAAGTGTGTGCACAGGTAGGGATCAATGTTTTCTAGTTTGTAGCCCCGGTAGAAAAACCAGGTACCAACATAGCATACGATACGGTGAGGATTTTTTGTATAGTCATTGTGATCTACAGTATAGTTGAATTAGTTGATACCAAAAAAATAATAATAATTACTATTAAATGATTTAACTATACAATTAGTATATAATAAAAATAATTACCTCTTTTTGGGACACATGTGACCAATGCTACCAAACAAATGCCAGAAAAAACTATTGCAAACTTTGTTGACATTTAGGTATAAATTAAAATAAATTAATATTTAAAATTTTGAATTATTATTATTATAAAATTAAAAACAATATATATATATATATATATATAGGATATTTATTTTATGTATATGTCTACTTGAAATATACATATATAGTATAAATACAGATCCGGCTTTATTATTAGTAAATTCAATAATAATAATAATAATAATAATTTTATCATTTGATTATAACAATAGTTAAATTTAGTAGCAATTATTAATAACAGTATATAATTTTCAAATTTATTATTTCACAAATACAGGGAATTGTTATCAATGGATAATAACTAATATAATTGTTTTTTTTTGTGTTGTAATTATTATATTAAATATCAAAAAAGCCTAAACTATAGACTATACTCAATATTATGATAAGATTATTGTTATTATTAATACAGTATTTTTTGTGTTATATTGTTTGTCTTATTTTAAAAAAATTATTATTAATTTTATTTATTACTGTATGTATTAGTATTAAAAAATTAATGATATTATCTTAAATTTTTAAGCCATATATTTAGAGTAATTAATTATAAATAAATAATAACATTAATTACATTTAATTAAAAACAAAATAATTTTATATTTAGTTTTAATTTATTATATTTAAGATAAAAATTTATTAAGTAAACTTATTTATATCTATGTGTATTTTTAAAATAAAATAAATATTATAACAAAAAATAAATCAATGATACAATTAAAACTTTTTATCAATTAGTAAAATTAACTAATTAAAATTAATTGAATAATATTAATTATAGTATATTATTTATATTTATTTAGTAACTGTACCTGCTTATATAAATAAAATTTAACTTTTTTTTAATTAATAAATAAAATTTAAACATAATTTATTATTTATAACAAATAATAATGCAATTTGTTTATTTTTATTAATTATATAATAATAATAATTAGTTATTAATTATAATTAATGGTATTTACAAAATTAATATATAAAAAATTATATAATAGATTACTTGGTTTTACTGTATAATAAATAATTAGATTATTTTAAATTTAAAAAAAAACAATATTTTTTATGACATTTAAAAATATTATGTTTTTTTTTGAAACCGATTATTATTATTATTCAAAAAATAATACTAATAATAATCACTGGCAGGGAATGTCACAGTTTTCCGTACGGGGATTATAGCATGTATGTAGAGCACAGTCAAAATAGGTACCCCACCAGCCCTTATCGGGTACATCACGGCATGCTATATATTTGTGTACATTGTGGGGGAACGGTATGTTACACCAGGGTCGTTTGCCGCACTCTTCGGCACATTGTTCGGCTATGGGTTTCGGGCTGGGTGTCGGTGTTGGCGGTGGTGTCGGTGTGGGCGGTGGTGTCGGTTCGGTTGGTCGGGTATGCGGTGTCGTGGGTGTTGTCGGCGGCGGCTGAGTAGTTGGTTCGGGTGTCGGTGGCGGCCTATAGGCACACTCGTGTGTATCCCTGGCCGGACCATTCAACAGGTCCTTGACTTTGTTGGACAGGGAGTATTTGCCGTATCGGCAATCGTTGTTGAAGTCATCATTTTGTAAAGCCCATAGTACGGCACCCGATAGTTGCATTTTTTTCAAATAGGTAACCTTACATTCAATACTATTGATATCATCGTAACCGACCCATATGTCATCGTTGTAGGTATAGGGGGCCTCGTAGTCCCAATCGTAGTGCATATGCCATTTGGACGGGTCAGTCATAACCATTTTGCATATCTATTCAAAAAATAAATATTTTTTTTAATTATATATTTATATATATATAGATAATGATAATTAAAAGTTTAAATAAAATAGTAATATATTGTCTATACAGTTAAATTTTAACAGCTAAGCAAGGTAAACTGTTAGTATACATTACTAAATATTAGGTAAGTTATATACAGTATACAAAGTACCTTGCTAAAAAAGTATTGCATAATATTAAACTAAAATTTAAAAACTTTTTAAGTATCATAAACTCTATATATATATATATATATATATATATATAGATAATGATAATTAAAAATTTAAATATGAGTAATATATTGTGTATACAGTTAAATTTTAACTAAGCTAAGCAAGGTAACTGTTAGTTTACCTAATATACATTATATTAGGTAAGTTATATACAGTATATAAAGTACCTTGCTAAAAAAAGTATTACATAATATTAAACTAAAAAGTTTAAAAACTTTTTAATTGTCATAAACTGTATATATATATTAATTAGATTAAAACTGTTATATAGTATAGACACTAACCTCATTGAAACCGATAACACCGGGCTCCCGTGTATATGGCAATGCCGGTGACATACCTTTGGCACCGTCATACAAATGTATATGACCCTTATCCAGTAGACTCCAGGCACGCCCGTAGAATGGCAAACCCATAACCAGTTTACTCTTATCCAGACCATTGGCCAGATAGTAGTTGACCGTATAGTTGACCGTAAAGTACGGATAGTCACCCGATTTTGGATCTTCCAGTCGATGATAAAGGGGTGCATTATGTCCTAAAAAGTTTTCCCAACCACCATGATAGTCGTAGGTCATAACATTGGCCCAATCCAACAGTTTATTCAGCTTCGGTATGTCGTAGCCGATATCGATTTTCGGTTTACCCGGCGATACGGCAGCCGTCAACAGATAGCCGTCTTTATCCAACTCAGCCCTAAGTTCTTCGACCAGATGTATGAAATTGTCTTTATCTTTGGCCTCATCGCCGCCACGACTGCCCGGAAACTCCCAGTCCAGGTCCAGGCCGTCGAACTCGTATTTTTTGATAAAATCGACGGCCGATCGGACAAATCGTTGCCGATTTGGCTGCTTAGCCATATCCGAGTACTTTTCCGACCCCTCATACCAACCGCCCAACGATATGAATGTCGTTAACAATGGGTTTTTCTTTTTCAAATCGTTGAACACTTTATAGCCCTCTATGTTTGAAAAATTCATAAATATTATATCCAATTAGTTTATTATCAAAAAAAAAATTTACCTAAAAATAATAGGTGTGTCGGGATATATATTGTATTGATATTAAATTTAAATCTGTTTTGTTTTTTTTATAGATATACTGATTGTATTGAAAATTGAAAACACTTTATAGCCCTCTATTGATATATAAAATATAAATATATATATATACAGTATATATAAATATAGTTACAAAAAAAAATATTTTACTACACACTTATCTATAATATAATATATAAACTCAAATATACTGATTGTATTGAAAATTGAAAAACAGTATATATGGGGGAACTGGTAGATATATTGGAACAGGTAGGTTATTTAATATATAGCCCTCTAGTTTTTTCTTATAGATACAAAATATTAAATAAAATTATTTATTAATTAATTTTTTGTTTGTTTGTTAATTATTTTACACTGGCAACTAATAAGATCGATATTTATAATAATAATAATAATGTTATATATATATATAATAACTATAAATATAGTTACAAAAAAAACATTTTACTATTACACTTAGCTATAATGTAATCTATATATATATATATATATATATATATATATATATATATATATATATATATTAACTTAAAAATATACTGATTGTGATACTAAAAAATTGCATACTAAACAGTATATGGGGGGGGACTGGTAGATATATAGGAACAGGTAGGTTGTTATATATATAACATATATTTTTAATTAATTAAAAAAAATCAATCATTTATACCAAAATGTATATCAAAATTGTCGTCAAAAACTTGCATATCGTAAGTGGTTTCGTTGATTTTGGCGAAACCGTAGACTAGATGTGTGCATAGTTCGGGCGGTATGTCTTCAATTTTGTAGCCCCGGTAGAAAAACCAGGTCCCGACATAGCATACTATGCGCATCGGATTTTTTTGGTAATCATTGTGATCTAGGTTGTTTTTTTAAGTTTTTTTTTAGTAATTAGTATAAATAAAAATGTTAATTATTATTATTAGATATATATATATATACCTCTTTTTGCAACCTTAATGTTGGCACCGATAGCCAATGTGACCGTCCCCAGTAGGACCAGCACAACCAGTTTAAGGACAGACATTATTATTATTATTATATATTTTTTTCAGCTATACCTATACTAACAATAATGTGAGCTTAGCTAGATCAATTTAGCTAGCTTATATAGAGATTAGTTTCCTATTAGTTCACATATATAATATATTATCTTATTAGTCATATATATCTTATTAGTAATTTTTTTTTTGTATCAATTTTTAACTAAATTTTTTTATACTGTATTTTAGTTTTTTTTTGATAAATATTGTCAATCAATCAGAGATAGAGAGAGAGAGAGAGAGAGAGAATACAATTATATAAATATTACATTATATGTCTTAATATTTTTTTTTATAAAAATAACCTTGATCATAGTTTATAAAAAAAAATGTTTGCCAATTACAACAGTTACATAGATTTATTTAAAAAAATAATATAACAATAAGTGCACTTGAAATCAATTGATAATTTCCTAGAAATACTCTACTTTTTTTTAGTATTAATTAATTAATTATTAAATGTATTTCTTATGAAAACTTTTAGTAATTTAGCAATACTTTTGTATTTAGTTGAGATCATTGGCAACACTATATCCTATTTTAATTATTAATTATTTTTTAAAAAAAAACTATTATTTGTTTATAAACTATAAAACAAAAACTAATAAATACTGTATTTAAATATTTTATAAATAGTTGAATTTAATTTATTAGATATTTTTTTAAAAAATAAATATATTGTTAATATATAATAATACTATAAGTTTATAATACATGTATATTATTACTAATGTATATTAAATATAATTATATTTTTCTAATATAATAGTATATATAATTTATATACTATTATCAAAAAAAAAATAATAATTCAAAGTTTAAGTAGGGTAACTTTATCAATTTTTTTGACAAAATATTTCTAGTATATGTATTTAAAATATATTAAGTCAATAGTAAATAAAATTGACAATTAATTGATTTATTTATTAAATATATTTTTAGCAAACAAAAAATTAGCCATTAGTCACACAATATGTATTATAATTATATTTAATTTGTATATTATTTTATATTCATATATAATACTAATTTTACTAATATCTAAATAATAATTTTTTAAAAAAATAAATACAAACATTTAAATGTAATTTGTTTATTTTATTTAATTAATTTATTGCTAATATAATAATTAAGTATGTATTTACAATAAATTATATTTATAAAATAAATTTCATAGATTACTTGTTTTACTGGGTATATACTGTATATATATTAATATATAATAAATATATAATATATATATATGTATTAATATTATTTTTTTTAAAAAAAAACATATTAAAACCGGGTATTTTTTATTTAACAGGAAATGTCACAGTTTTCCGATCGGGGATTATAACAAGTGCGTGAAGCACAGTCAAAATAGGTACCCCACCAGCCCTTGCCGGGTACATCACGGCAAGCGATATACTTGTGCTCGTTATGTGGGAACGGTATGTTACACCATTCACGTTTGCCGCACTCTTCGGCGCATTGTTCCGATATAGGTTTCGGCGACGGTGTCGGTGTAGGCGGTGTCGGCGGTTCAGGTGACTGAGTGGTACCGGTCGGGATAGTTGGCGGTGTTGTCGGTTCGGTAGACGGTGTCGGTGGCGATGGCGACGGTGTCGGCGGTATAACATATATACATTCATACGAGTCTTTTTCTTTGCCATTCAGCTGAGCGTTAACTTTGTTCAACAGCGGACTGACGCCTCCTTTGCATCGGTTATCAAAGTCATCGTTTTGTAGGGCCCATACCAACCCTCCCGAGAGTCCCATCTCTTTCAGGTATTTTGTCTGAAATTTTATTTTTTAAAATTAAAAATTGATTTTTTGTTTGTTTGTTTTTATAAAAAACTAACTAACTTTGCATTCAATACTATGGATGTCATCGTAGCCGACAAATATTGTTTTGTTGAAAGCATAGGGCGATTCATAGTACGGGTCATAATGGGTGCTCCATTGTTCCGGGTTAGTCATTACCATTTTGCATAACTATATGCCAAACCCCACCCCCCACCCCCAGCCAACAAACAAACACATAAAAAGAGAGAGAGAGAAGGATTAAAATATGAAATATTAGGTTAATATAGATTGATATAACAATAATTTTTTTTAAATAATATTATAATATATAATAGTTTAATAATATTATAAATAATATAGGGTTATAATATATAATGTATAATAACTACTGTATATTATTATTATTATTATTATTATAACTATATTATTAATTATAACAGTAATAACAGTATTATTAATCACAACTATAATAATAATACAGTAATGTATAAAATAGTTTACCTCATTGTAGCCGAAAACTCCCGGTTCGCCGGTAAACTCGCCGGCCGGTGACATACCACGGGCCGGATCATGGAGATGATAGTGCTCTTTATCGGTCATAGTCCAGGCTCGGCCATAAAACGGTACACCCATTACCATATTCTCTTTTTTCAGTCCCTTTTCCAGATAATAATGGATAGTATAGTTAATATTAAAGTACGGATAGTTTCCGCTTTTCGGATCCGACGGACTGTTAAACAAGGGGGCATTGTGTCCCAGTTCATCATCCCATCCCCCATGATAATCGTATGTCATAATATTGCCCCAATCCAACAAATCATTTAGCTTATGTATGTCCTCGTAAGCCGTATCTATAGTAGGCTTACCAGGGCTCAGGGCTGCCGTCAACAGATAGCCTTCTCTATCCAATTCAGTCCTGAGCTCTTCCATCAATAGATTGTAGTTATGTTTATCGCTTAGTTGGTCACCGCCACGATTGCCCGGATATTCCCAGTCGACGTCCAGGCCGTCAAAGTTGTATTTGTGAAGGAATGTCGACACACTTTTGACAAATCGCTGACGGTTTGGCTGCTTAGCCATATCCGAGTACTTTTCCGACCCCTCATACCAACCGCCCAACGATATGAATGTCGTTAACAATGGGTTTTTCTTTTTCAAATCGTTGAACACTTTATAGCCCTCTATGTTTGAAAAATTCAAAAATATATATATATAGAATTGATATTAAATTTAAATCTGTTTTGTTTTTTTTATATAGATATACAAAGCATTTAAATAAAATTATTTATTAATTAATTTTTTTTGAGTATTAATTACTTTAGTGGCAACACTTTATAGCCCTCTGTTTTGTTGTTTGTTTGTTTGTTTTTTGAGATACAAAAAAAATTATTAAAAAATTAATTTATTAATTAATTAATTGTTTTTTTTGAGTGTTAATTATTTTACTGTCAATAATAAGGTCTAATAATTATATAGTAATGTTATTTATATACCCAGATAATGCCTAATTAAAAGTTGAAATTTGAGTAAGGTATACAGTTAGTATACAGTTACCTAATATTTAGGTTGAATTATACATATATATATAAAGTACCTTGGCTAAAGTATTACTGTACATATTACTAAAAATTTAAACTTTTAACTTGCATAAACTGTATAACTGTATGTAATGTTTATATACTACTATATATATATATAGGGAGCTGATAGGTTGGACTGTTAGGTAGTTATAAATATTTAAATTAATAGGTGTTTAGTTTTTACCATAATGTTCGTCCAGCCACTGGTCAAACATTTGCATTTCGTAAGTGGTTTCGTTGATTTTGGCGAAACCATAGTTCAAATGTGTGCACAGGTAGGGGTCGATGTTTTCCAGTTTGTAGCCCCGGTAGAAAAACCAGGTACCAACATAGCAAACGATACGGTAGGGATTTTTTTTGTAGTCATTGTGGTCTAATTCAATTTTTTATTATATAAAAATTTATAAACATTATCATTATTATTATTGTAATAATAGTATTAGTATTAGTATTAGTAGTATTAGTAGTATTAGTAGTATTAGTAGTATTAGTAGTATTAGTAGTATTAGTAGTATTAGTAGTATTAGTAGTATTAGTATTAATAGTAGTAGTAGTAGTAGTAGTAGTAGTAGTAGTAGTAGTAGTAGTAGTAGTAGTAGTAGTAGTAGTAGTAGTAGTAGTAGTATTAGTGGTAGTAGTTGTAGTAGTGGTAGTAGTAGTAGTGGTAGTAGTAGTAGTAGTAGTGGTAGTAGTAGTAGTAGTAGTAATGATAATAATAGTAGTAATAATAATAATAATAAAACAATAGTAGTATAGTTACCCCGTTTGCCTCTGACCGCTCTGCCAGTGGTTACGGCTACTAAAGCCACCAAAAATATAATAACAACAATACTAAGCCTAGACATCATATATCGCCCGGTGCTTGCAATACAATGTGTCTGAATACTACATATATTCAAACCTAAATAGACTTTTATAATTTTTTTTACAATAATATTGTTTTTTAATTCCTGTTCAAAATTTATCGATAATACTGTAATAATAATAATAATAATTATAAGCCATTGAATATTAATTGTGTATTTTTTTGTTGTTGATATAAACTTGATATTTCATTGAAAAAATAAATAATATCTATATACAGGTATAGAAATTGTATCTATATAATGTTAAATAATAATTTCGTAATAATAAACGAGCCTGATATATTTACTTAAATATATATATATATATATATATTATTATATAGTGCCCCACATTTTAGATTAGATACTATAATATTATATATATATATATATATTATTTTATTGCATTTACATTATATTTATTATTTTATATTATTGACACTATAATCTATTATTAATAATTATCTAGTGATATAAGTGTCATTATTAATCAATAATATTATATATATATATATAAGTTACCTAGAGTATTTCAAGTATAAAATATATATTTTATATATATAATAGTATATATATATATAAGTTCTAGGAATTATATTAGGTTTAATTTTTTTTTAAAAATATATTGATTATTTTCAAATAGACACTTGTGTTTGATGTTTATTGACACATATTATAGATTATTATATTTACTGTAAGTTAAATTGATTAAAAAAAATATATCATAAAAAGTCTATTTAATAATTAATGTAATTTTCTTTTATGACATAATATAGTTAAATAATTATATTTATTTTTTTTTTAAAATTGTATTTATATAACTTTATTAATTTTTGCTATTATTAAAAAAAATTTATTAATAAGCATATTAATTATTTGTTTTTATTTAATATTATAAATTTATCATATATGTTACAAAAAAATAATAAAGTAAACAATAAATATTTTATTTATAAATTAAAAATATTTATTAATGTTTATAACTAGAAATCTTATCAAAATTAATAATAATAATAATATTACTATTAAATTGTTACTTATCTATTGATAGTTTAGTAAATCAAACATTTTTTTTTATTAAATAGGATTTAACACTTAAATATTACATTTTATTTATATATTACATTTTTTTCGATAATATAATTGAAATACAATATACTGTTTAATATAATAAAATAAATAATAATAAAATTACGTCAAAATCGGTTTATTTGGAAAAAAATAAAGAAAATATTATATTTACAGTAAATAAGACAATATATTATACAGAAAATAAATTATTTTGATTTAATACTTAAATAACTTAACTTAAAAAAAATAAAAATAATTTTAGTACTATATTAAGATTATTATTTATAGTTTTTTAAAAAAAACAATTAAATTAAAAAAAATTATGTAAAAATAACATTAAATAAAAACAATTTTGTTTAATAATAAAAAATTTGTATATTTTTTCTTTGAAACAAAACTTATTTATAAAATTTATTATAAACAATATTAACTTTTTATAATAATAATAATTATTATAATGTAATAAAGTAATGATAGTAAAATAATTTATTATATCAAACATATAATTTAATAGTGTTTAAAATAATTAGTTTAAAATATATATTTTTTTAAAAATTCAATGACGTAAAAATTGTAAATAAAATTTAAAAAATTAATTGAATATAATGTTAATAAAATATATTAAAGTTTAATAAATAATTATAAGTACTAAGTTTTCTAAAATAATATATTAAGTTCATTTAAATAATAGTTTTTTAAAAAAATAGACAACAATAAGTTTAAAGTATTTTTATTAATTATTAATATTCAGCTAAATTATTAGTTGAATTAATAACATTGTTATAATAGCACAAATAAATTTAGCAATTAAACAATTTACAGTTTATTATTAAGTTTTAATACTAATACACGCAAATAATTTTAATCAAATAATTTTATTAATACATTATTTAAGATATACAAAAATAATTATAATTTATTAAATCAGTATTTTTGCTTAAATTTGACAAAATAATAAACAAAATATAAATTTAAATAACTAAAGTGTATTTTGTTATATATATATAAAGCATTATTTAATAGAATTTAGTAATTTTCATATATTCACGAATTCCTGAAAGGAATACGTATATGCATTCTAAAAGTCTGTCCGTCTGTCTGTCTGTCCCACGAGGACATAGGTTCGAATCCAGGCTCCGCTACAAAATTTTTTTTTGATTTTTTTTGGTTTTTTTTTTAAGTTAATGAGATCGTATGGGAATGCTTTTGAAGCATTCTCAACTGTTTTTTTTTTATTTTTTTTAAATTTTTTCCTTTTTTAAGTTAAGGAATTCGTGTGGAAATGCTTTTAAAGCATTCTCAACTGGTTTTTAATGAATTATTTTTATATTTTAGAAAAAAAAATCAATTTATTTTATTACAATTGTATTTTGTAATTAAACCGGTCAATAAAATTTTGCAATAAATATATTGATAATATAGTACATAAATAAATTAAAATATATATATATAACTGACACAAGAAAAAATTGTCAAAAAAATATATAACTAATTATTTTATAACTATTTTATTTCTATTGTTAAACAAATAGTATACATAAACATAACAAAAATGTAATTTTTTAAAAAACAATCATATCATACATTATATATCTATTATTTTTTACAAATGAATATTATTATTATTATTAACTAAGCTATAAAAATATCTATTTTTTAAAAATTTACAAATTTAACATTTAATTAGCTTTAATTAAAGTTATTTTTAATTTTTTAAAAATAATTATTTACTTAGTAATTAAACTATTTATAAATAAAAATTAACAAATAATATAATTTTATTTTAATTATCATAACTATTGTGAAGTTTTAGAAAAAATATATATATTAGTTAAGTTTATTTTGTAAATTAATTAATAAATTAATTTAAAAAAAACTTAAAGAAAAAGTAAAGTTTTTTTTTAATTTATTAATTTATTCAAATAAATAAATTAATTAAAAAAAACTTAACTAATATTTTTTCCATAACTTGACAAAGTTATTATAATTAACAAAATAATTAATTTAAATAATAAAAAAATTATAATAAAAATTAATTTAAATAATTAAAAAATTATAAAAAAATTAATTTAAATAATAAAAAAATTATAATAAAATTTAATTTATATAACAAAAAAATTTTATCATTAATTTTTTTAGTACCATTTCATCTCCTGTTTCCACAGCAACTCCAATCCCGTTCCCGTCCATTCAGTGGCCACTTTCTGGTCAATCAAATCGCTTTCCTGTTTAGTCAACTGCGACCGCCAATTGCCGACTAAACCAGTTTGTATACGAGGGTCGCCCGCATACGTACCGCGCATAGCACCGATAGACGACAACCTAACTATACGATCTAACAATATTTCATGGTTGCCCTCTGGGCTGACCATCACATCCGACAGTTTACGTACATATTTATCGCCTAAAAACTTGGCTACAGTTTCGATAGCCAAACGCGGATCCCGAACCATATCTTCGTATAATAAAACATGAAAATTCTGGGCATCCCTGAGCTGCCAATACTGACGGACAAACTGAAAATAGTCGCCATAATATAGGGGATACTTGTGCTCAATGAAACACAATCGGAAAAAGTCGTGTACGTCGTGGACATCCCCGTCCTCTGGTAGCCAACCATTATCGCTGATATACTTATACTCTGAACAGACAACATCTTTGGGATTTCTGAGTGAAAACAGATACCTGGCCTTCGGATTGATAGCCATTGAATCGGTGGTCAGGTGTGTCATAATATGGCAAAAATCATCGCCCAGTTGACTATCGATAACCTGTTTGCCCGATCGCTCCAATCGTATACTATTGTTGACTATACTGTCCGATTGCTGGCCATCCGATTTCAACAATCGGATAATATAGCCGATCCAGTTGCTACCCGATCGGGGATAGGCTACTTGAATGCGGTCGCACTCCCGGTGCTCGTAATCCATGGCCCATTCGACACATTGATGGGAAATAATTTTGCAAAAATTTCGGCCTCTAATCGTATAGGTATCGGTTATCATTATTATTATTATTATTATTATTATTATTATTATTATTATTATTATTATTATTATTATTATTATTATTATTATTATTATTATTATTATTATTTTGACCAAGTACAATTTTTAATAATAACAAAAATATACTGTATATTTGCTATAATATTTTTTTTATCTATAGTATAGTATATTTAATATTAACTAAATTATTATTTTATTATTTTGACCAAGTACAATTTTTTTCAACAATAACAAACAAAAATATACTGTATATTTGCTATAATATTTTTTTAAGCTACAGTATATGATATTTAATATTATATTTTAATAAAAATATTTTTGTTTAGACTTTATATAAATATATGAAAAAATTCATATATTAATCATTTTTTGGAAAATTACCTAATTAATTAAATATATTAATAATAGATAATCATTATTATTTTTTTCATATAAGGAGTCAGTCAATTAATGTTGCGTCGCGTAAAACTTGAATAACTTTTAAACGGTTAGAGATAATTTAATTCTGTAAATTACATTTAAGAATATCATATCGACCACACTTAATATACACACAATCACAAAACTAGGGTGACCAGATATACAAAATATCGGGACCAACGCAGGACACTATGCTAAAGGCAAAACTACAACTGGCAAATTTATTTTGACAATTAAATTTTGTAGTCAAGAAATAATAGTTTAATAAAAAAAAAGAATCATCAAAATCGGATTGGTAGTTTTACTTTTATGGTTTATTAAGTTTGTCATAAATCATATTATATAAAAGAGTCAAATATAAAAATGACGTAATTTATGACATGTATATATTTATTAGGTGGATTTTTTAATTATATTACTAATTCTAATAATAAAATTTCAATATGTCGATTAGTTTTTGAAATAATCGATTTTCAATAAAAATTTTAATATCAAATTACGATAGTGTGATTTATATTGAAATTCAATTATTTCGAAAACTAATAGACATATTAAAATTTTGTTTTTATAATTAGTAATATAATTAAAAAATCAATCTAATTATCATATACAAGTCATAAATAACGTCATTTTTATATTAGACTATTTTATATAATATGATTTATGACAAACTTAATAAACCATAAAAGTAAAACTACCAATCCGATTTTGATGATTCTTTTTTTATATTAAACTATTATTTCTTGACTACAAAATTTCATTGTCAAAATAAATTTGTCAGTTGTAGTTTTGCCTGTAGCATACTGTCCTGCGTTGGTCCCGATATTTTGTATATCTGGTCACCCTAGTTTTGTAATTGCGTGTATATTAAGTGTGGTCGATATGATATTCTTAAATGTAATTTACAGATTTAAATTATCTCTAACCGTTTAAAAGTTATTCAAGTTTTACGCGACGCAACATTAATTGACTGCCTATTTATTTTATATAAAATAATAATAATAAAAATGCAATAATTAAAAAAAATACAAAAATAATCAATAAATCATCGATAAGATTATTAACATTTTATTATTTTATTTAGTCTAAAACAATATAAATATTTTTTTTGTCAAATCATCAAGTTAATATTTCTATTATATATATATAATCCATAAACAAAATTTTCAACTTACAAGTTTTTAGTTAAATAAACTTAAACAATAAAAGTGTAAATTATTTATATAAATATATATATTTAAAACATTATTCAAAATTAAATAATTTATTATAAAGATAAATGAGTAAATGTAATGATAATAATCATTTATATTTATAAATTATTATTTAATATATATATTTTTTTGTATTAAACAATAAACACCAAGGTTCAATAGGCATTGACAATGTTTGTTTTTTATCGGAAACTTTATCCAAAAGTTTTCATCTAATTTAGCATAAAATCTGAAATAATTTTTTTATACATAACAATATTTTTAAAAAAAACTATTACAATATTATTAATATGTTTAATCAAAAAAAAATTCAATAATAATAAAATTAAATTAACATCTATTTATAGATAATACAATATATGCCAAAAAAAACAAATTGCAATAACACCAAAAAAATTATTTATTTATTTTTTTCTAAAATTTATTTAGCAATAGATTATTGCTTATAAAAATTGATACATAAACTGTATATTAATAAAATGTATTTAGACAATTAGATAATATAAAAAATAAATATAATATGTATTATAATATTTTATAAAAAAAATATTTATAAATAATTACTGTATTATTATGGATTGCATTTTTTTACTGTACGTTTAAAATAACATATGTAAAGTTGCATTATATAAATAAAAAAAATTATTTTCAACTATGTAATATATATATATATATAACTATTTGATAAACTACTATACATATACACTAAAAATAACTTGTATTACTATAACAACATATAGTTTTATAATTATTTTTAATATAAAATTTTATATTAAAATTTTATTACTTATACAGTATAATACTATATCAGTATATTATCTATAGATAGTTTAAACAAAATATTTTATTTAAAAAAAAAATAATAAAATAATATAAACTAATTTTTTAAAAAAAAATTGTTTATTATTTTTATTTTTTGTGGTTAAAATCTATATGAATTTTATTTAATGATGTAAACTGTTGTAAACAAAAAAATAATATGTATTTATTACTATTACTTAATGAATAAAAATAAAAATTAATTATATATTTATATTAAAAATAAATGATTTTTTTCGTATTTAATTTTTAAAAAAAGAGTTTTACTTAAAAAAATTACTAAATTTTAACAGTACTTCAAACTATTTCAAAATAAAATTTTTGTTTTAAAAAAACATAAAAACTATTAATTAATTTAAAAAAAAAATATCAAATAAATTTCTGCCATAAAAACTCTAATCCCGTTCCCATCCATTGGTCATCGATAGCCTTATCTATTGTTAAACTTTGTTCATCAGTTAAATGGTTTATCCAATCGCCTACAATACCAGTCCTAATACGTCCATCATTTTTATAGGTATTTTTCATGGCATCCATAGAGGACAGTCGTTCAATTAAATCTAACAGAGTTTCATTAGGATTAACACTATGGGACAGTAGTCGACTAAAATAGTTGTCACCTAAAAACTTGGCAATAGTTTTGATGGCTTTCCTCGGCTCCTGAATCATATCTTCGTATAATAAAACTTGAAAATTATTGGCCAACCCTTGACTTAGCTGCCAATAGTCGCGAACCCATTGAAAATATGATCCAAAATACCAACTATTTTTCACTTTAGTATTATTTATAAATCTATTGATTATATATTGAAATTTATTTTCATCATCAATAATATCGGGTATTAACTGGATATCCATTGAAAAATAATACAACGAAACCAATACATCCTTCGGGTTTCTAAGTATCAACAGATACCGGGCCTTATCATTGATAGGCAATCGGTTTGCCGGTAAATGTGTGGCCAATACGGTAATATCCCGATGCTGTTGTCGGGCCAGTATATCCCCGACATTATGTTCCAGCCAATAGTCGGTCATATTGTGTTTGTCCTGTCGTTGGCCATCCGATAGGATTAGTTGTATGATATACTGTACCCAATTCAAGCCCGACCGGGGATAGGATAGTAGTATACGATCGCATTCCCGGTGCCGGTAGTCCAGTGCCGGTTGAAAACGTTTCCACATATGACTGATTGATTGATTGATTGATTGATTGATTGATTGATTGATTGATTGATTAATTGAATATATTATTATCAAAAAAAAAACTGCTGAAAAAAACTAAATATTATAAATTATATATATTTTTTTCAAATAAAATAAATAAAAATATTTTTTTTATGTTATCTCTAGTATAACTGATAGTAACACTGATATTATTTTATTACTACTACATAATAATAATAATAATAATAAATGTTATATATATTAAATAAAACAAAAAAAATAGGTTACATTAATTAATTTTTTATTTATCATATTGTATTATACAGTAACTTATATATTGTTATAGTCTATTGAAGTATTTTAAAATTATAATAAATTATTTATTAATATATTTTAATAGTAGTAAATTATATTAGTTTTTTAATTTAGTATATTTTTTTGAAAACACATATTACATGAAAAATAATATATTTTTTAATATTTAATGATAATGCATTTATTTAATTGTTTATTATTAATTACTATTTTTTTAAAAAAATATTAAATATCACCTAGTCATAAATATTTGTTTAATAACATTTCCTGGACTAGAGTAGAAATCCAACAAAAATAAAACTAAATAAAACGGTTTATGGTTAGGGTTTTATTTTCATGTATTAACAAACAATCAATATTTTTAATTACTTCCTTTAATTAATTAATTATTTTAATACAATTAAACTTAAATTTATTAAATACTGTATATATAATACATATTTGTCAATAAATACAGTACTTTATTATCTAATTGTTATCCAATAGCGCCTAAAGTTATATAAATATAAGTTTATATCATTGACTATATCATTGAAAAAATAACAATACTGTTATAATGTCAATATTTATTTATTTTAAAATTATTTTATTTTATTTTATTAAAAAAACTATACTAATGTTATTTATTATATTTATTTAGTTTTATTTATAATTGAACAAAATTTTACCAAGGTGGCGCTATTTATTATTATATTGAATTTATGATTTTTGCATTTTATTTTTGTTTTTTTAATATAAAATAATTAAAAAAAATCATTTTATTTATTTATTATTATTACTTTTATTTTGTAAATCTAGTTTGATATTTATTTTTATTTTTTATATTAAAAAGTTATTTTTTAATTAATTATGTATATTTTATTTTATTTTCTAAAAATATTATTTATAAATAATTAATTTAGTCATTTAGTCAATTTAATTTATTTTTATACTGTATAAGCTTATCAAATATATATATATATATATATATATATATATATATATTAAAGTATTAACGATATTTAGATTAATATATATTTTTTTGTATTATTAATTTTAAACATATTTAATTATAAGTATTATTTATTTTTATAATACTATACAACATTATTGTATTTAATTACTTTTATTTTATATAAATATTAATTTTGTGGCTATTATTATAATATCTTAGTTACTAAATAATAATAATATTAATATTATTAAATTAATAAAATCAATTATGATTATGTATTTAATTCATAAATATTATTATATACCATAAAACTGCAATAATTTATGATCAAAATGTGTTTACATTAGTGTAGAAATTATTTCTATAATCTATAAAACAGTTTATTATTTTTATTATATTTGATAGAAAATTTATATTTTTATTATTAATATTCATTATAAATAATGATGACATTATTAAAAGCAATTTATTTTTCTAGACATACAAAAAATTATTATTTGGATTACATTTGCACCGGTGTCTCAAAAAAAAAATTAATATATGAAATAAAATTAAATTTTTTGTTTGTTTGTTAGAAGCCATAGAAATATAGTTTTTTTTGTGTGTGTGTTATTAGTATAACATTGACATTATTTACTAGTAATTATAATTTTATTTATAGATTTTTGTATTCAATTTTATTAATATATGTTATATACTGTATGTGTCAATAAATGTATAGAATATTCTGTGTGTGAAAGTTAGTTGTATTTTAGTTTAACTTTATTTTAGTTGACGTTTATTATTCAATTTAAGTGAAATTATTATTATATTTTGATACTAATAATAAAATATTTCAATTCAATATTTAATAGTATTATAAATCATCTAATAATAAGTAACATAAGTTTAAATCTTTAAAATATAGTCATATTTATTGTTTTTAAATATTAATTTAAATTTTATGATTGATAATTAAATAAAAAAAATATATAACTAAATAAAATATTAATAAAACTAATTATTATTTCTTAATTTAATTATGTTATTCATATAATTGTAATTAAAAAAATGGATTTAACAAATAATAATAATAATGATATTAATGATAAAATTATTAATTTAAAACATAATAATAATACTAATAATAATATATCTAATAGTTTTGATGTTAGCATTAATTGTATAAAAAAAGATAAGTCTAATGATGTTATTTATCACAACAAAAAATTTTTGTTAAACAAAAAAATTATTAACAAATCAAATAATGATATCAAACTTATTGACGAAACAAACATCACTAGTAGTAGTAGTGTTAATAATACCGTTACTGACACTGATATCGGTGACGACGGCTTCAATATAATGATAACATTTCATCGGTTGGCCGGTATTTTATACATTGGTTACAATGATGATGATGATAGCACCCGTGACAGTAGCCGTTACGGTAACTATCTGCTACTAGTATACGGTCTACTAGTATGGGCACTGGTATCCATGGCCAACATACCATGTTTGTTAACCTGTTCCCTAAGCTCGGCCATACATCAACAAAACCCAACATCCTATTACATGTTTAACATACTGTTCCTATACTATAACTTTTGCAATCTGTTTACGGCCATAATGTTTAGCTGTCGAGGACGGGCTATCCATGGATTGGTCCGCAACCTAAGCAACAGTGTCGGCCACAATCGCCGATCACTTTATAGTCTGAAAATCGGTGTTTTTATCTATATTTTCGCGTCAATTATATTGATGTTTTCGATGGGCTTTATGTTGGATAATGTCACACATTGGACACATATACAGGTTATACATCTAATTGAAGACTGTTTTAGGTAATACTGGATTTTTTTTATTATTAAAATAAATAAATAAATTATTATTAATTTTTTATATATATAAAACTTTATTATTATTAAATTAATTTTATATATATATTAGTAATTTTTTAAAAATAAAAACTTTTATTAATAACAACAATAAAAATAGATTTTTTTAGATAGAAATTAATTTATTTTACAACACATTTTTTATATTTATTATTATTATATATTTTTAGTTGAAAAAATTATTAGAAAACTTATTATCATGTATTTATTTTTAAAAAAATAAATAATTTTGCTTGATAATTTTTTTTATATAATATATTTTTATATAATTTTTTTATATTTATTATTATTATTATATATTTATAGTTAGAAATGTTAGTATAAAAATTTTTATCATGTATTTATTTATAATAAATAACTAATTATGCTTGATAATTTTTTTAGAAAATTAATTCTTTAATTATTTTTTAAAAATTAATTAAATTATTATTTATTTTTTTGTGTGTAAAACTCCAGTGAAATTATGACCGACCAGACAGGCTTTCTATTGGTCTACTTTAGTATGTATATCACTATAATTATCGATAAACTCAATGAAGGTGTCAAACAGTACCGGTGCTGTCAACTAAATTTCCTGGAAATTCAATCACAAATAGTTGACATACAGGCGCTTATCAAACAAACAAATCGTTTACTAAATCCATGTCTAATATTAGTCTTCTCCTTAAATATGGTTTTCATATTATCGTTCAGTTTTTTCGTACAAAATCTATCGGAAATTGACCGGAAATTTTCAATGAAAAATGTTTGGCCATTACTGATGGTATCTGTTGTACGGATTTTTATGTGGTGTTTGTTTGTGGATATTATGAACCAAAAAGTTTAGATTAAAATTAATTTTTTTTTTAAATTTATATATAAATTAAAAATATATATTAATTATAATTATTTATTTTATTATTTGTAATTAGAATAAAGAAACATTTGAATTATTATCATCAAAAATGATACATTATTGTGCTAAAAGTGTCAAGGTAATTTTTTTAGAAAAAAATTAAATATATTTATATATAAATTAGTTAATTAATTAAAAAATTGATTTTTTTGTATTTGATATAACCTAGATAATTTTTTTTATAAAAAATATATTTATATATAAATTAGTTAATTAATTAATAAAATTTATTTTTTTATTTTATATATATAATCTAGATAAATGCCATACAAAATTTACAGCTAAATCAACAAACGTTTAGCGCATCTAATTTTTTCAATATTAACAAATCGCTATTTTTATCGGTAATTAATTAAATTTAATTAATTATTATTAATTTATTATCAAGGTATTTTTAAAATTAATTTTTTGAATTTAATTTTATCTAGGTAATTGGCGTAGCTATATCCTATACATTGCTGTTTATTGAAAATGTTCATTAAATAAATTTTATAAAAAATATAAAAAATTGTATAAAACTTAATTTTTATTTATTTTACATTAAGTAAAAAAATAATATTTGTAAACAAGTTTACAATTAAATTATTTTATTAATATAATATAAACAATTTATATTAATGTTTAGCATAATTAATATTATATATAAAATAAATGTAAAAATTCACAATACATTTAATAAAATGTTAAATATATATATCATTATTATATTTTTTTTGTTTTTTTGCCATAAAAACTGTCTATTTTTGAGTATAAATTTAATAAATATTATTTATTTTGAAATATAAACAATATATACTTTTCTATAATAGCTTTTATTACTATACTATACATTAAGACAATTAATTTTTGATCAAATTTTTGTTTGGTTATAAAACTTTTTTTACAATATTTATTATAACAATAATACATATATTTATTATTATTTTTTAAATCATAATTATTAATAGATTAACAAAAAATTATTTATCTAATTATTATTATTATTATTAACAATATTATTTGCACCCATATTATCGACAATTTCTGATACATTAAACGATTTCAATGTCTCTTTGAGATACCGGTGCGCATTGAAACTAATCAAACGATTCAAATGGTTCATCTGGTGGTCAACCAATTGCGGTACAACCTGACTAAATGGCCAGGCTAGATTTTCGGTATTCAATTCAAAACCCTGGAAACTGGTCATATCTAAATTGACCAGGGTCAACATTTTCGTCAACTGGTTATACTCAAGTATCGCCATCAATTGGCACCGTTTGATTAGCACCTGTAGTTGCCAACCGGTTATATGTAGACCGCGCTGTATTTGGCCATCAACTAGAAAATCGGCCGTCAAGTTATCGATGGTTAGATTGACACCGATTGACCATAGCTTCAATTGGCTGTTAGTATGCAATTCAATCGGGCCCTCCCGGTGCATATTGGACACGCCCTTGATTGACAGGTCATATATCCTAATTGTACCTTTTTAATTTAATTAATAATAATAAAAAATAATTTTTTAAAATTAAATTATTAATTAATTTAAACAAAATTATTTTATATTATATATAATGTATATATATATTAGTTAATTAATAAATTAGTTTTTTTTTAATTTTAGAAAAATCTATTAAATAATATTTTATTGTTAATATTAGTTAGTTTTCAATTCATTTTTTTTAAATAAAAAACTGTAATTTTTCAATTATAATACTATTATATATAATAATATATAAATATATTATAAATACTAATTAGAAATCATTTGAAAGATTTACATTTTATTTGACTAAATTAATTATGTTTACTAAATAAAATTTATTTTTATTTTTACAAAATTATCTATTATTATTAATTAATAATAAAATTAAAAATTAATTAATTACATATTATAGACAATAGATTACAATTTACATTATTTAAGTTAATTTATTTTTAATTTATTTAAAATATTATCGGTTATATAAATACCCATATCTTTGAGCATAAATGTACCAAAACTTTTCACAACTAACGGATCAATTTGTCCCATAAATTGTCGTTTAAATTGCTTGATAAACTGGTCGACCAATTGGTTAGCCCTGTCCTCACCGATACTGAATGGTTGCATATTTCGCATACGATTATTATTGGTTCGCTCATTGAGTTTATAGACTTAAATAATAATTAATAATAATAATAATTAATAATAATAATAATTATAATAATAATAATAATAATAATAATAATATAATAATATAATAATAATAATAATAATAATAATAATAATAATAATAATAATAATAATAATAATAATAATAATAATAATAATAATAATAATAATAATAAATATCATATATTAAATATATTATTTCAAAAATAAAATTTTTTACCTGGATAATAATCTTTGAGCTTGGTCGAATGTTTAACAATAATTTTAGGTTGTACTAGCTGATTATTAATAGTACATGTACCATCGGTAATAATTTTAATTTCACATTTACCACTATTTACATTAATGTAATTTTTATTATTATTATTATTATTTCTATCATAATTATATTTATTATAGTAATCAGTTTTATGTGGTTTACTATAATAATTATCCATTAGTGAATTTAGTTTAAAATTATTTAGCATATTATTTAATTTTGAAGATAATACAAAATTATTAAAATTATTTAATATAGAAATATTTATTATAATAAAATATGAAAATAATAGTTTATGTTTTATCATAATTGTTTAAGTAAAAAACAAAATTATTATTATATTAAAATTAATTAGATATTTACAGATTGAATATTAAACACTAAAAACAATATATTTAGTTATTGTGTTAATAACAATATAAATACAATTAATACATTTTTTTGTTTAAAACATTTATTCATTATATTATTTTCAAATAACAATTATATATATATATATTTATAAAAATTAATTATCATTAATAATAATTTAAATATTTTTAAACAATTATTAAATACTACATTAGTATTTTGTAAAATTATTAAACATTTTATACTATAATTAAATTGAATTTTTAATTAGAAAATTTTCTTTTAAAAAAATATTGTAATCTACGTCTATTTAAACACTGATAATGACATATAGGAAATGATAAAATTAAAATTATTTTATAATTAACATATAATATGATAGTTATATCAATACTTAAAGGAAATTAACTTTTTTTTGTTGTGTCTAACTATTTGCGACAAAACTTTTTTACAACTAAACTGACGTTTTTGTGTTGAAGTTATAGTATTTTTACAAATTTTACACAATTTAAAAAAATCATTTAACTAATAAATCTAATTAAAATTAAACTTAATATTACTTATTTTATTATGAAAATTATTACTTAAAATATTATAATTATTTTTTTTTGTTTGTTTGTTTGTTATGAATTTAATATTTCTCAATAATAATAATAATATATTATGACATTAATACTGGTATTTAAAACGATTTAAATATTATTATAAAATTGTCCACAAAAAATAAAATCCTAAAAACTTTTTTTTTATTGTATTTTATTATTAAACTTGTATTTAGTTTTCAAAAAATATTGTGTAAACTCAGTACTGTAATCGTATTGTTTGTTAATATCCATTGAGGACTCAACATAGCCGGTGACGGTATCAAACGGTACCAACCAATCGGTACTTTTGTCCAGTAATTGTTGACACGATGGCCGTACACTACTGGAACCGTTTAGTAAGTCGGAAACCATTTTGAATATCATCATAAAATCATCTTTATATGTATAGGTATTTTTTCTATAATTATTATACATGTATATATATATATTGAAACAATAAAACAAAACAAAAATAATAATTATTAAAAACTAATTAATTTGAATAATAATAATAATATCTAATTAATTCAATAATAATAATCTCTAATTAATTTGAATAATAATAATAATAAAAATCTATAATTAATTCAATAATAATAATAATAATAATAATTTCTAATTAATTAATTCAATAATAATAATAATAATTTCTAATAAATTAATTTAATAATAATAATTTCTAATAAATTAATTTACTAATAATAATTTCTAATTAATTTCAATAATAATTAATTAATTCAATAATTTACTTAAATGTGTTGACATCAAAGTTATACAACTCTTGCATCGTTACGCCAATACTATACATATCGGCTTTCGGCCCATAATGTCGGCTACGTTTGACCTCAGGTGCCATATATTTGTCGGCACCGACATTCTGTGTATGACTCTGGGAGTGCTCTCTATGGGCAACGGCTAGTCCAAAATCGGCTATCTTAACAAACCGGCCGTACGCCGACTCTTTGATCAGTATATTTTTCGGCTTAATATCCCGATGAATGATCGGTGGCTGACGACTATGCAAATAGTTGATACCCAGGAGCACCTCCTCCAGCAACTCGGTAGCCATATAGTAGCCCAGGGGTGGCAATAGTTGATTGTTGGATGAGTCGACAAACTGTTTATACTGATCGATGGCCGCCTTCAATGTAAACCAACACAAGTCCATCTGTATGTGAAACATTAGATGACTGGCCTGACCACCGCTGCCGTTACCGTAGCTCTCGACCCACGAGGACCGGTATTGGACAAAGTGGTCGCTGTCCAGTTGGGCCCAGATTTTCACTTCGCTACGTTTGTTTTCGTAGTCCTGTTCAAGGGTTACGTGTCTGGACATTGAGGGAGAGGCCGTCTCGCGCGAGTGTCCCCCCGGTGCCGGTAAAGGCATTTCCATATCGTATTCTAGTTTCCATTAAATATTGATAATGATAATAAATTTATTTATTTTTTAAATAATAATAAATTTAAATTTTAAAAAATATATTAATAAACTAATAATAATAATAAACTAATAATATTAATAATAATAATAATTAATTTTCATATTTTTCAATTAATTTTTTATTTTGTAAATCAATTGATATGTTTCTAAATAATATAATTATTTTATTGATATTTTTTATTTTTTGTATATTTATATTAAATTAAATAAACATTATTTAAATATTTCAATTTAAAAAATTAAATCACTTTAAATAAATAAATAATTATTTAGTTTTTAATTTTATTGAAAATATTGACCTAGTTGCAATTATTGTTAATCAAAAAAAAAAATAAAATAAAAATAGTTTATACCTTCAATATTTATACGTTTGATGGCATACATTTTTTCATCAATTAGATTTTTGGCCTCATTAACCAGGCCAAACGAGCCCCTACCTAAAACATTACCCAGTTGAAATTCATTTTCCAATCTACCAGCTTGTATGAACATTTTGCTGGATAATACCGGTGCTGCTGGCATCTGGTCGTCCATATTCAGTGCACACCCCCAATTTACTAAATTAAAAAAAATTAAATTTATAAAAATATAATTAAAAATAATTTACACTTAAAATAAAAAACAAATAAATAAAAATTATTATATTTTAATAACACAATATATATTAAATATTTATATTTTATATATATATATATAATTACATAAACATTATTTATATTACATTTTTATTATAATTATATTAAGGATTATTATAAAATCTATTAGTTTTTTTTAAAAATAACTAATTATTAATTAATTTGATTTTAATAAAAAACCATTATTATTATTATTAAAACTATATTATTGTTTTACATAAAACAAATAAACAATACTACAATAGTATATAATTTTAATATAGAGTATTTACAGTTAAAATTGACATTTTATTGTTATTATATGATTAAGTGTCTAGGTCAAAATTGTTATAGTTATAATCAATTATTATATTTATATTCTGATAAAATGCTTTATATTTTTTTAACTATATTTTATGTCATTATATATATATATAGTTATTAATAGATAAACAATATTATATATATATATATATATAAATGAATTGTATAATAATGATAAATATTATTACACTATCAGTATATTTATAACTTTTATATTAAAATATTAAAAAATTATATTAAATACTATAAATGAAATTAAAAATATATTTTACAATTTATAATTAATAATTATAATAAATTTAATTACAATTAATTAATAATATATTTAATTATAAAGAGAAAATATTTGAATAATTAAAATAATTTAATATAAAAGTAATACAAAAACTTAAGTTTTAATACAAATAAATTACTCATTTGTCTAATTAACGAGAAATTTGTATATACTTTATATATAAATATATATATATATATATATTTAATATTATATAAGCATTGTGTATAACCTGTACTAATATATAACTAAATAAATTATTAAATGAAAATTGTTTATATAATTATAATTATATACATGCAATTAACGTCATCAAAATTTTTATTCATCAATGATTTTTTAAATTTTATTATTAGTCAATTTTTTAAAAAATAATTATTACCGGTAAATAAAAACTAAAAAAAACTAGTTTTTACACTAAAAAACAACAACAAAAAAACTAAATAATAAAATTATATATATAACTTAACGATATTTTATTTTCAAACAATCGTTTATTTAATCCATTAACTCATAGAAAATACCTGTCTTTCAATACTACAGTATATTTAGTCGTAAAATAAAACAAGTTTTGAAAGTTATTTTATTTTTATAAATTTTTTTATTTATTATTATCAATACTATTAGTAATGCTATTCACATACTATTAGTTAAGTTATATATAATATATACAATTTTGTTGTTGTTTAACATATATACTGTATATATATATATATATGAAATGTCTGCCAAACGTATAGCTATTATCGGTGCCGGTATATCGGGTATAGCAGCGGTCAAGGCATGCCGTGAACAAGGATTTACTAGTATTGTCTGCTATGAGAGGACTGACCATATATGTGGTCTCTGGAGATACAGTGAAGACGACGATAATGATGTCGACGGAAACGCTATGATAATGAAGACATTGGTTAGCAATACTAGCAAAGAGATGACCGCCTACTCGGACATACCGGTGCCCGAAGATTATCCTAATTTTATGGTCAATTCATATATGGTATGTATAACAGACTCTGTATCGATATTTATTTATTTTTTGTTTGTTTGTATTATTAATAACTTATTTTTGTAAACTATTAATATTATAATTATTAATATTATAATTATTAATATTATAACTATTAATATTATACTTATGACTAATAATTACTAATATTAATAATTTATTCACATTGATTAACATAAATAAAATGCTAATATTAAAAAAAATAAATTAAAAACTACTGTACAATATATTTACAATATATTTTGTTTGATTTATTTAAATAACAAAAAATATATTTATATTTAATTTAACAACTATTGACTAATTTATTATAATTAATCATTTATTATTATTAATACTAATTATAAACTTTTCCTTATATTTATTTATTTTATTTTTTTTGAATAATAATAAATATTCAATTTATACAACACATTAATAATAATAATAATAATAATGCGTTTAATTATCAAACTATACTATTAAAATAATACAGTAATTATAATCACTGATTACGGTAATCACTAAAAAAAATAATTAACAAATAATTATTTAAATTATTAATAATTACTTTCTCTCTCTCTCTCTCTCTCTCTCTCTCTCTCTCTCTCTCTCTCTCTCTCTCTCTTTCTTTCTTTCTCTCTCTTTCTCTACTATACCTAATAGTAATAATAACTATGCTATGATTATACCATTAAATTATCCATAAAATCAATTGTTTTCTAACTTTTTTTTTATTATATCAACAATAAAATAATAGTCAAAATATCTGCAACATTGTGCCGATAGTATATCGTTTGATAAATATGTTAAATTCAAACACCAAGTAATCACATGTCGCCCGAACCTGGACTACGACCTAACCGGCCAATGGTCACTGACGGTCATGGATCTGGTCAGCGGACAAGTTTTTACCGATATTTGTTCGGGTGTTATGGTATGTACGGGACTTAATAATCGGCCCGTTATGCCGGAGTTTACCGATCAGCATCGGTTTAAGGGCCAGATTATACATTCGCGTAACTATCGGAAACCGTCGGCGGTATATGAAAACAGGACGGTTGTAGTGGTCGGCATCGGTAACTCCGGCGGCGATATTGCCGTCGAGTTGTCTACGGTGGCCAAAAAAGTATGACCTAATTTAATAATATATTAATTATTATTATTAAAAGTATTGATAAAATCACAAAACAATATACTAATGATTTTTTTGAATTAAGTTTTCAAAAAAATAATTATAAGTTTTACAGTACATTAATAATGATAATATTTATACAAATTGTTTTATATAATAAGTTTTAATGTAATTTTTCATACAGTATTTTATATAATTTAATGATACTTATATTAGTTGTTAAAAATATTTTATTACTATTTTTTTCAAAAAATCATTATTTTTTATCAACTCTAATGATGCAAAATATGCTAATTGTTTTAAAATAAACATTTCTATACTTTATTATTATTATTAGTATTAGTATTATTACAGTATTATTATTGTTAATAGTAGTAGTATTATAAAAAAAATTAAATATTTGAATAATAATTGAATTATTTGATAAAAAAAATAATAACAAAATTATATAAATTATTTTATTGGAAAATTTTTTTTTTATAATTATTTAAAAAAACACATTTTCACTTATATTTTATTAATAATAAAACTATAATTAATACATATTTTATATATAAATAAATATATATATATACTGTATATATATATATATATATATATTAAATATTTACTTTTAATATATTTGGTATTTATATATTAATTATTAAAATAATATTTTTAAATATTATTTAAAAATTTATTATTATTAAACAAAAAACAGTTATATTTGTCGACTCGTAGCGGCTCATGGATTGTACGTCGGGTTGGTTTCAGAGGACAGCCGTTTGACACACAATTCCATCGACGAGTACTGAACACAATCATAGGTCTGACACCGTATCGTATGCAATGCTATTTCGGGGAACTGTATGTCAACACGAAATTCAATCATCGGCTATACGACCTCAAACCAGATCATCGGCTATTTGCTCAGCACCCGATGGTCAACGATGATCTACCCAATCGAATACTATCGGGATTTGTAACGGTTAGGCCAGACATTGACCGGTTTACCGAAAACGGTGTCATATTTAAGGGTATTATTATTATTAGTTTCATCTAAAAATCTATAGATATATGCTATAAAAGTCTAGACCCCACCCAACCCTAGACCCAGACCCCTCCCCCGAAGATTTTTTGAGAAATTTCACCCCAGCCTACCTCCACCCCTCCCCCTAAAATTCAAAAACCTTGCTTAACCCTGATATATATATACAGTATATATATATACAGTATATATATACAGTATATATACAGTATATATACGGTATATATATACAGTATATATAGTATATATACTGTTTATATATTGTTTATATACTGTATATATATATATATATGGTATATACAGTATACTAATAGTTAAATACAACAACAAAAATAACTGTTTGTTTGTTTTTTTTTTGAAAAATAGGTGACACCGATGTAACCCCGTGCGATACGGTAGTAATGGCCACTGGCTATGAACTATCCTATCCGTTCATACCCGGCTCAGTCCTACCCATCACCAAGGCCAATTTCAATCTATATAAAAACGTATTTTACCCGCACCTAAAACACGCGCATACACTGGCCATTATCGGCTGCGTACAACCTAACGGTGCAATACCACCGCTGGCCGAACTACAAACTCGTTGGTTCTGTCGGCTAATGGCCGGTGAACTTCAACTACCGACGGCCGATAAAATGCTTAAAGATATCAAACGTAAGAACCGGTGGATCCGAAAACGTTTTCATAGTCCGGAACGACATTCACTGGAAGTCCATTGGATACCTTATATGGATCAGTTGGCCGCCATATTGGGTGTCAAACCTAAACTTTTTAAATATTTTTTTACTGATCCAGTCCTCTGGTGGCACCTGTTTTTCGGCCCCTGTGTGCCCTATCAATACAGGCTAAACGGTAAGCTATATATATATATATATATATATACTGTATATATATATATATATATAAATATCAGGGTTGCAAAAGGTTTTTTCGATTTCAACGGGGGGGGGGGTATAGGGGGTAGTAAAATGGCAAAAATCTTGAAAAAGTTTGTGGAGGGGGGTCGGGTCGGGTAAACCCATCGGTGCTAAAAAAATGTTAGTGTGTCCCTAACTTTTTTGGCCTTAGTCCAGGGGTGGGTGAGGTGGGTGGGTAAAACCTAAATATCTTGATCTCAGGGGGTAGATGGTCTTACCCCTACTACCCCACCTTTCGCAACCTTGATGATAAATGTAATATAATACTGGTATTTATTATCTATTATATACTACTCTATTAGAATTTTTAATTATTATTTTTTAGTTATTTTAATAGATTGAAAAATTAATGTTTTTTTTAAATTTTTTATTTTTGAAGGTCCAAACTCCCAGTTCAAACAGAGCCGCCAATTGATAGTAACGGTAGACCAGAGGATACGGGCGCCGCTTAGCACCAGAACTAGACCTAAAAAATTGTGATAAATATATTAATTAATAAATTATATATTATTTTTTTTGTTAGTTTAAATGTTTTAACTTAACAATAAATATTTTTTTATCTCAATTTTAATCTCAATAAATATATATATAATACTTACTGTAGTTTTGTTTGTATTAAAATAAATTATAAATATTATCTTTGATATAGTGTTATGAAAATTAAAAAATGTAAATAAAAATTTGTTATAAAAAAGTGTTTTTTTAATAAATTTTTTTTTATAATATATATACCGTATTTCATTGCATTTCATACCCTATATGAAAACTAACATATTTTTTTTATAGTAAACAAAAAAATAACTCACATTTTTTACAATCTTTAGTAAATTAAGCAAGGTTGTGGGGTTCACAGTGGGGGGGTGGGGGTAACTAAAATGGGTGTACGATGTTACAGCTGTAATGACCAATATTTAACAGTTATATATATATATATATATATATATATATATATACTGTATTATTAGATAGCTATTACCTGGTAATTAATTAGCCAATTAGTTGAAAATGTTTTTCAAAAAAAACATGGAGGGGGTGGGAAATTAAAAATTTTTAAATAAAAAAAATCTATAATTTTCATATTCTTTAAAAATAAATTTATATATAGGTATAAAACAAAATATAACTGTATATAAAATTTAATAATATATAAAAAAATATTACTTATTCTATAATAACAACAATAAAAATGTTATAAATATTTATAAATATCCACAGAAAAAAAATAATTACTAATTTATAAAATAAAATTATTGCAATAATATATAATATATTATTATTATTATTAATATATATATATATATATTGATTAATTTTTATTTGTGCAAGTTATAACTGTATATTTATTATTATTTTTTTAAGATAATTACCAGTCATTTTCAATCATGAGTGATAATAATAATAATAATAATAATAAATTTACATTGAGTTGCGTATGTTATTTAATTAATATTGTGAAATTTACTGTATAATTTTTATACTAATTTATACAGTATATACAGTTTTTTTTTTAAAAAAATAAAAAACAATTATTATTAACATTATTATTAACTATTATTATTATCATTGAGATTAAACATTATTAAATTTGATTATGTAATCACTTATACAGTATATATATATATATATATATATATATATATATACTGTATATCTATATATAAATAATTTGATGATAAAATATATTTATATATATATTTTTTAAAAATATTGAATCTATTTATATGAGTACATTTAATATAAATAAGTAATGGGTAACTGGGTTAGGGTATGGGTGGGTTAAATTGAAAATAAATGGGCGGGGAATGGGGGGGGGGGTTAGGAAAAACATTTAAGGATAGTAAGGGTCTATATTGATGCACTTTTTTTTAGTATCAATCAAAGTCTCAGAGAAGGGGGAGCACAATACTACCACCCAACCCAACCAACCCCAACCCCCCCCCCAACCCCGCAGATTGCAACACTAATATAATATATTAGTAATTATTATTATTTTTTGATAAATATTTGATTGAATACATTAAAAATATTAGCTGCTATTTATTAACTGTTATCAAATAAGATAAGCCTATTAGATATTAATTTGTATGACTTATCAGTTTTTTTAAAAAAATAAAATTAATTTAATATCAGTTAATAAACAATTTATGAGTTAAGCTTAATAATTAATAATAATAATAATAAAAAAACATTAAATTAAAAATACATTTATTAATACTGTATTAAAACATTAAATAAAGTAATAATAAATAGTATTTAATAGTTGTCTATAAAAGGTTTAAAGTTTTGTTTGTTTGCTAACTAACTCAACAAATAGATATATAATTACTTATTATTAGTAACTAAATAAACATTTTTTTTGTTGTTGAATACATTTTAAACTATTATATATAATAACAAAAATGTCATCAAAATTACGTATCGGTATCATAGGTGCCGGTTGTGCCGGTGCTACCGCTTGTAAAGCCTGTCTAGAAGAGGGCTACGATGTGGTTGTCTACGAAAAAACTGGTCATACGGGTGGTCTGTGGCGATATCACGAGGACGATGTCGACGGTGTGGCCTCAGTGGCCAAAAGTACTATTATTAATACTAGCAAAGAAATGCAGTCCTATTCAGACTATCCACCGCCGGCCGACTTTCCCAACTATATGCACAACACAAAAATGGTTAGTTTTTTTTATATACCGGTATATATATATACTGTATATAAAAAATATATATATAAAAATAATAATAATTATATAATGACTGCGCCATAATTATGCTTAAATTTATTATAACTAAATTATATTATAACCATATTTTTGTATTATAATTAAAATGTTACAGTTTATAAATAACTATATATATGTATGTGTATGTGTATGTGTATGTGTATGTGTATGTGTATGTGTATGTGTATGTGTATGTGTATGTGTATGTGTATGTGTATGTGTTATAAATTATAATTATTAGAAAATTAAAAATATCATTAAATTTTATTATTTTAGTAAATATAAAATTATAAATTAATGTTTAATATCATTAAGTGTTTATAATTAAACAGATAGTAATAGATATTATTTATTAGTTATCATTATTTAGTTGCAAATGAATAATATTATATTACATTATATAGATATAAAAATATATTTATAAAGCAATTGATTTTTATTAAAATAATTTTTTTTAAATCAATTTTTTTTAGGTTAAATACTTTGACGGATATAATCAGACATTTGGTTTCAATCGATACGTCCGATTCAGACACGATGTACTGAAAGTGGAGCCCAATGACGACTACGAGAGCACCGGGCGCTGGAAGATAACGGCCCGCGACAACAACAAGAACAATGACGGTAACGGTGACGGCCAGGAGTCGACCGAAGTATTTGACGGTGTAATGGTATGTACTGGTCATCACGTCCGGCCATTGGTACCGACATTCCGAGATCAACACCTATTCAAAGGTCGTATATCGCATACACATTCATACAAGACATCGGAGGGCTATACAGACAAACGGGTAGTTGTTGTGGGAATTGGCAATTCGGGCGGCGATGCGGCCGTAGAGGTGGCCACTGTAGCCGCTCAGGTACTTAATTAATATAATAACTAATTAACTAACTAATTAATTAACTAATTAAATAACTAATTAACTAACTAATTAAATAACTAATTAACTAACTAATTAAATAACTAATTAACTAATTAACTAATTAACTAATTAACTATCTAACTAACTAGCTAATTAACTAACTAATTAACTAACTAACTAATTAACAAACTATTAACTAACTAACTATTAATAATTAACTAACTAGCTAATTAACTAACTAATTAACTAACTATTAACTAATTAACTATTAATAATTAACTAACTAGCTAATTAACTAACTAATTAACTAACTAACTAATTAACTAACTATTAACTAATTAACTATTAATAATTAACTAACTAATTAATTAACTAACTAATTAAAAATAATTGTTTAAATTAAAATTTTATTAATTATTTTTATTATTATATCAATAAATAATAGACATATCTGTCGACACGTAGAGGAACGTGGGTTGTCTACCGGGTTGGCCCAAACGGTAAACCAGTGGACACTGTAGTCAGTCGTCGTATCAATAATTTTCTACTAAATCTATTGCCATATAATATGAAATGTAATTTAATGGAAAATAAACTCAATAAAGTGGTCGACCATAATGACTATCAATTGAAACCCAAACATCGGGTACTGGCCCAACATATTATGATCAACGATACCCTACCTAATCGTATACTGTCGGGCACTGTCATTGTTAAGGGCGATATCGAACGGTTCACTGAAACGGGTATCATATTTGAAGGTTTGTTTTAAAAAACTATTATTATTATATTATTATATATATATATAATAGGGTTGATAAAAGGTTTTCGATTTCAGGGCGGTTGGGTATAGGGTGGGGTAAAATGGCAAAAAAAACTTGAAAAAGTTTGGGGGTGGTATAGGGGGCGGGTAAACATTTTTTATAGCATATTTAAACAATAATTATTTACCAAATATAATATAATTATTTAATAAATTCCCTAAAAATTCCCACTAAATTACCACTAAATTACCACTAAATTCCCACTTAATTCCCACTTAATTCCCACTAAATTACCTAAAAATTCTCACTAAATTCCCATTAAATTTCCACTAAATTTCCACTTAATTCCCACTAAATTACCTAAAAATTCTCACTAAATTCTATAAAATATATATATATTTTTTGCTAAAATTTTTTTCCCACACAATTTATAGGCGATACCGAGGAAACACCGTGCGATGCGGTAGTATTGGCCACTGGATATCATGTATCGTTTCCGTTCATATCACAGGAGCTCATACCTACTGATGGCAATCGTATAGAGCTCTATAAGTATGCATTTGCACCGAAACTCTCGCATCCGAAAACACTGGCCTTTATCGGACTCATACAACCAATCGGTGCCATAATGCCGATCGCCGAACTACAGTGTCGATGGTTTGCCCTATTGATGGCCAACAAAGTACGGCTACCGTCACGCCAGTCGATGTTGGCCAATATTGACCAACGACTCAGGGATATGCGGCACCGGTATTACGATAGTAGTCGACATACGATACAAGTGGATTGGCTGGACTTTATGGACGATTTGGCCGAACAGGTCGGCTGTAAGCCTAAACTGTGGACATATCTGTTTACTGATCCGACACTGTGGCGGGCACTGGTATTCGGTCCCTGTGCTCCCTATCAGTATCGGCTGAATGGTTAGTATTTAAAAAAAAAAATTATTTTATATGACTATTATTTGAACAATTATTGTTGATTTTTTTAAGGACCTCATTCATGGCCCGGTGCCCGACAGGCCCTACTGACCATCGATGAACGTATTGAAGCACCGCTACAAACCAGATACGGAAAGGTAGCTAAAAAACAGATAGCTTCAGGTCTAGGACTAAGCACCGGGATGTTTGCCATTAGTTTTATTGTTGGGATTTTATTATTTTTATTTTACAGTCAAATTGTTTAATCAAAAAAAAAGTTTTTTAATAAATAAATTTCTTTTCCTTAATTTTTTCCCAATTTTATAAATTGTTATTTTTTACAAAAAATTATTTTTTTTAAAAAAAACATAAAATATCAATAATAAATTGAGACATTTATCAATTAAAAAATTTATAATTAATTTATGGTTTATAAATTATTTTTTTTACATATTTAATTGTTTATTTAGTTATCATTAATAATAATTATGGTAAAATTAAAAATTAAAAAAACAATATTTTTTTGTAAATTTTATAATAATAATAATAATAATATGTTATAAATATAAAAATTAATATCAGTTAATATTTTTTGATAAATTATATAACTAAATTTTAGATAATATATTAATTAAGATTTTTGTGTTTTAGACTAGTGCAAAAAAATGTATAATAATTAAATAAATTATAAATTGTTAATTTAAATATATATATTTATTTATTTATATGATTGCCTGGCTAATTTATTGTTAAAATAAAAATAATAGTCAATTGCAATTAATATCTAACTAAATAATCAAAAAATTAATTATATATATAAAAATGACCAATTACAATTTGTTATACTAAATTGATAACTAAATTGATCATTAATTATGATTACAAAAAAAATATCAATAACATTGCTATATATATATATATATATAGGGGGAGTGGGGGAAAAATAAAATACTTTAAAATACGAAAACCTTTAATTATTTATATAATTTTAAGTAAAAATAAAATTTAAATATAATAACACACATATATATATATACATATAATTTTGAAAAGAAATTTACATAAAATAAAGTTACAAGCAATATTTACCTAATGCATATACTTAATTTTAAAAAAAAATTATTTGCACACAGAAAAAAAGTTAATGATTTTTGTTTAAAATAATGTAACAATAAATAGATAATTTGCGCCACAAATCAATATGACTTGAATTATCTCCCAATTAGTGACCGGAAATAGCGACAGACAATAGAAACCAATTGTCGGTCCACTTAGTCGTCCGATAAATGTCTCACATTTGAAGCGCTGTCGTATAGTTAGCCGATGCCTGCGATTAGCTAACAGTGAAAACATTAGGCCGTATGGCTTGTGGGCCATTGACGGTACTTTTCCGCACAGATAGCCAATCATTAAACTTAAAGTCAATAGTACTAAAAATAATAAAATCGTTAAAAACTTGAATAATTGACTGGACTCGCGATGATGTGTCTGATAGAGTAGTAATAGTGCGGCAGTTGTACCGAAAATATATACTAAGAAAACTGTTTTAGAAACGGGACGATTAGCCCGACTGACCAGTAATGTCAGCTCATTGTGTCCGTCAATAATAGACAGTAATTTATTATTCATCGGATATACAAATGATTTGCTTAATAACTTGAATTGTTTGTTAATTTTATTAAACATATCATCTAATATAATACCGTAGACTATTAGGCCTATTAGTATTATATAGGAATAGTTTAATATATTAAATATATCAATAAATGATATAAACATAATTAGGATAATATTGTCTAAACTATAGTTTAGCTGCTGATCAAAGTAGCCCAATATTATGGGCAAATTGAAGACAACAAATCCACAATAAATGTTAAACCAATAAATAAATTTATGTGGAAATGTTATAATAAGAAAATAATAAGAAAATTTTTCAAACAGATTAATATTTGAAAATTCAGATTTATATTTCAATAAATTTAATAAATCATCTATTATTGGAAATATATGCTGTCTATCAATTAATTCGTACCATAGATGTAAAAGTGATCCGAAAATATTTGAAAATTGTATTAATAAAATAAATGTCAAAATTAATTGTTGATTTCCATACAGATATGTATAATCGCATAACACGATTGTTAATCATTTGTAGTGATTATTGTCATTGTTATCATTTGAATTATAATCATAATAATCATAATCATTATTAGTATTATTAGCTGTGGCTATATATAAGCCAATCGTACGCAACATATTTAAAAATGAGATAATTTTTAAAACAATTTTAATTGTAATTTGTTTTCTATTGATATTTTCAATCAAATATTTATCATCAATGCGTTGGCAATTAATTATGTAATGATTGTCTAACCATTGCACCAATAAATCGATAAAATGTTTATTATAATAATTTATCATTATTATTTTATTTATCAATGATGAATGATGTATAGAAAATAATTATTATAACTAAATTTATCGATAACCTAAAGTTTGATTTAAATAATAGTATATAAATATATTATAAATTTATATATCATTAATATATATATATATATATATATATATATATATACGGTATATCATATGTTGAAATTAAATAATTTTTATGAAATATATATTTATATATTTGTTTAATTAATTATCAATATATCTATATGTGTATTGTATTATACAAACTAATCTTATATAATTAATATGAAATTCAATTATCTTAATTATATTAACATTTAAGTAATAAAAAATGTACTTATAATAGATTTTACTTATAAATTAATAATAAAATAACATTTCTATATACTACTGTAATTATTGCTGTACACTTACATAAATATTTTTTTTATTGCTTTATTATATATTTAAATAATTAAATTAAATACTATATTTGATAATAATAGACTATATATTTAAAATAAAAACATATTGATTTTATATTTAAATAGCATTTATATTATAATATATTTCTATTTTATGTATATATATATATATATATAAATCATATATAGTTATTAAATAATTCTTATGGAATATATATTTAAGATATTTTAAGATAATTAATTAATAATACATTTATACTGTAGTTTAAAATATATAATATTGTAACATAAATATAATATTTCATATGAATAATATTAAAAAAAACAATTGTCTTAACATATGTACAACTTTAAATAATTAAAATTAAAATATTAAATGCATTTAAATATATTATGATATAAAGAAATAATTTAATAACATTTTTATAATAAATAATTATTTTTTACAAACTTGATAAACAATCTGATATTTTTTAAACTTTATAATAATGTGTGTGTTAGTTAGGGATTAATTTAAAATATTAATTTTAATTTTAATATTTATTTTTATAAAGATAATGTTTTTTTTAAAATCTTAATACCATAGATTATTGAAGATAACATTATTTTACTTATTAGTAGTAAATATATATATAGTTTATTAAATTGTATAAATCAATCAATGATATAATAATAAATATGATAATAATGGGTAAACTATAGTTAAGCTGATGATGATCAAAGTAAATTTAACAACTAGATATTTAATAATTTTAATATTTATTATTTTAATTTTATTTGAATTGATTTGTATATTAAAATAAAGTAATAATAAAAAGATAATTTGCTCCACAAATCATAATCATTTGACTGATTTCCCAATTAGTTAACGGAAATAGCGATAAACAATAGAAACCAATTGTCGGTCCACTCAGTCGTCCGATAAATGTCTCGCATTTCAAGCGCTGTCCTATAGTTAGCCGATGCCTGCGATGATTAGCTAACAGTGAAAACATTACGGCGTATGGCTTGTGGGCCATTGCCGATAGTTTTCCGCACAAATAGCTAATCATTAAACTCAACGCCAATAGAGATAAAAATAATAAAATCATTGAAATCTTTAATAATTGACTGGACTCGGGATGATGTGTCTGATAGAGTACTAATAGTAGGATAGTTGTCCCGAAAAAATAAAATGCAAAAACTACTTTAGAAACGGGACGATTAGCCCGACTGACCAGTAATGACAGGTCAGTGTGTCCGTCAATAATAGACAGTAATTTATTATTCATCGGATATACAAATGATTTGTTGAATAACTTGAATTGTTTGTCAATATTACTAAACATATCGTCTAATATAATGCCATAAATTATTGAACATAACAGTACTATATAAACATAGTTTAATATATTGTATAAATCAATAAACAAGATAAACATAATTATGATAATATTGATTAAACTATAGTTAAGCTGTAGATCAAAGTAGCCCAATATTATTGGTATAATTATTACCGTATATACTGTTAAAAATATTGACCAATAGATAAATTTATGCGGAAATGTTATAATCATAAGATAGTAAGAAAATTTTTCAAAATGATTTAAATTATTAAATTTAGATTTATATTTCAATAAATTTAGAAAATCATCTAATAGTCTAAATAGAAATTGTCTATCAATTAATTCATACCATAGATTGGAAATTGATCCCAAAATATTTGAAAATTGTACGATTAAAACAAATATCAAAAATAATTGTTGATTACCGTATAGATAGGTATTATCGCATAACTGGATTGACAACCATTGGTAGTGATTATTGTTATCATTATTAGCATAAGCAGTGCCTATATATAAGCCAATTGTACGTAACATATCTATGAATGAGATAATTTTTAAGACAATTTTAATAGCAATTTTTTGTCTATTGATATTTTCAATTAAATATTTATCATCAATGCGTTGGCAATTAAATATGTAATTATTGTCAAACCATTGGACCAATAAATCGGTAAAATGTATATTATAATAATTTGTCATGGTCATTTTGTTTATGAGTGATGAATAATATGTATATAATAAAATATATATATATAGAAAATAATTATTATAATTAAATTTTTAGATAACCTCTGAACATCAAATTTAAATCATAAAATATAAATATATCATTAATTTTTTTATATCATTAATATATCATATTTTATATACTAATTAATTCTTATGAAATATATATATATATATATTTAAGATATAATATTTTATTAATTTTGTTTAATTAATTAACAATATATTTATACTTTATTATTATCACTATACATGCCATTCAATCATTAATATCTAATTCAATAATAAATAATATTGAAAAACAATTATTTTGTTGCTATTTATAAGTTTAACATTTAATAAGTAGAAATGCATTTGAATATAGATAATGATTTATTGCTAAATATATAATAAAAATATTTCTATAAAAAATTTTATTGTCAATTATACTGTGTT